CTAGTATTACTTTTACATGACCATCTAATCACAAAAAAATCGAGCGAAGAAGGAAAGATATCAAACAAAGAGAAATGATGCGACAAATTGAACTTCTGCGATAGCATTGATAGTTTTTTGTTCAACAGTGATACTAAATCCTGCGCGCTGGACTTTAAGAGCTATCACTACAGTAGCATTATTTCTCTATGGGATAATAACAATAATCTACCTATTACTCTATGTACTCATGACTTTGGCAAACTCATAAAAACTCATAAGAATCCTCCTCTACCTCCTTATAATTCTATCATGATGCTGCTTCCGTAAGCTGTGGTCCAGTTTCCGCTTGATAGTGTCATTATGCTTCAGAGGTCCCCGAAAGCCAAGATCAGTACGATGGACAAAAGCGTTAGCATCATTTACAATCGTAAAATTGGCATTCCTGAGCATCATTCAGCTGTTTGTGACGTTGCAAAAGAGAACTTTGCACTGTCGAATTCAAAGAAGTTTTGAAGCTAAACACTTTCAAGGAAGAGGCTTGCTTGTGCCTAACCAAGAACTCTCCTCTCGTTAAAAATATAAAAGCGCGCTGGAAAGGGCTAAGACTGTACTGCAACAAGGACACATCATTTTTTACTAGATCCTCCATGCTGCAAGTTGTTGACAGCAGCAGCTGCCCGCTCATGGGATAATGTACGGGAAGAAAATGAGCGACAATCAACGCGACAGGTATCATTCCTGTGTTAGATCTTGAACCGATACGGTCGAACGGGTTGCTTAGAATTCTATGGAGGGCTCGGTTATGACTGTTTTTACCCGAGTTCACGATTCTTGTTTTACCGAATTTATGCCACACCAAAGAATTCAAAAGTATACGATTATATGTTCTCGTTGGACCGAAAAAGTCAAATTAGACATCTACATAAGAAACTTGCGCTTCAGGAAAAAACACTTTGTACTGTCAAACCTTCTCTACTTTCCAGTGAAGGTTCCGATAGTACAAGTAACACTCACTTCGGTTACACTCCCTTCCACGCCATTGTTGTACGATGAATTTACAACATATGGCAAAAATACAGCTTCTGGCATTCAGCGTCTATGCCAGACTTGCAACATAAGCAGCACGGCTAGTTCATTTAGTTGCACCATGACAGATAAGGACTGTGCTTACCAGCAAAAAGTAAAGTTGTTTGCCGATGCCCACGAAAAGACATGGACACCTACCAGATTCAGAACAAACTCCCTATCAAAACAGCTCCATGGCAACAAACGACTTCCATGGTACGATAGTAGCACAAATACCGCAGATGGTCTCAGCAGAAATAATTTTAATTGAAAAGAAAAGCGTAGATACACTAAATTTAGATGTAGACAATAATACTTGTTCGGTAGAAAATGCCGCCTTGATAGAGTGCTATAATTGCGCGCAAGGAGCAGAAGCCAAAATCGCATGCAAGTCACAAAACAAACTCTAGACAAAATCGTTTGTGACGACAAAGAAAACGACAAGACGACATAAAACGGATCGGTGGTTCTTGTTGTTGACCAATTGACCACTTTATCGTTGATACCTCAAATTTGGGTCATTAAACCCCACGTCGCAAATAACTTGATAGCAAAATATTAGGTTGTCCGGAAATTAATGCCCGTTTTGAATTTCAACCGCACTAAGTCATACACTTCTCACCACTAAATAGGTTGCAAAGTACCATTCGATAGAGCAAAGCAAGCTCTACAAGATGGCCGTCTTATTTTTGCAACAGCTCTCATTTATCTCGAGTTTCGAGCCGAAAACTAAAAAGACTCAGCAGTCCGAAAATCGAAAAAAATCGTAACTCAGTTCATAAAAAACCTACAAAAATTCTAACTTGTTCACGTAAACACTATCCACATAAGACATCAATATACGCCGCTGCCGTATTTTTTTCTCTGTTAGAAACCAAGAAAACGGAAATTTTCATGCATTTGCCAAAGTGATGCTGTGCCGTCCCCACATAGGTATTTGTATACCAAAGCCTGTAGAAGTACAGACTCAAATTTCCAGCTCTCTACAAGCTTTAGTTCTCGAGAAATACCGAATATAGCTTTCCCTAGTTAGGTGGTCCAAGCTAAAATTCAAATTTCTCGAGAGCTAAAGCTTGTAGAGAGCTGAAAATTTAAATCTGTACTTCTACAGGCTTGTGGTATACAATTACCTATGTGGGGACGGCACAGCATCACTTTGGCAAATGCATGAAAATTTCCGTTTTCTTGGTTTCTAACAGAGAAAAAAATACGGCAACGGCGTATATTGATGTCTTATGTGGATAGTGTTTGCGTGAACAAGTTAGAATTTTTGTAGGTTTTTTTAGGAACTGAGTTACGATTTTTTTCGATTTTTCGGGTTGCTGAGTCTTTTTAGTTTTTGGCTCGAAACTCGAGATGGAGGAGAGCTATTGTAAAAGCAAGATGGCCATCTTGTAGAGCTTGCTTTGCTCTATCGAATGGTACTTTGCAATATATCTAAAAATGAAGAGTGTGTGACTTATTGCGGTTGAAATTCAAAAATTCAAAATTTAATTTCCGGACAACCTAATATAACGGTGAAATCAACACAGTTCTACTACACTAGTAAAGAATTGAAGTATTTTTTGGAGCAATTCCAAAATTTGAGCTTTTTCCGCCTGTGCGGAGGGGGGCGCTCCCTCCTTCTCCTTCATCGGACGACTCATCGACCAGCTCTATTGCGTCATCGTGTCCACTAATCTGGTAATGACCCATCCTTTTGCGTGCTCTCCGGTGCTAGCTGTTCACAATCGTTTCCGGTAATCGTCTTAAGTTTACCGTGTGTTGTTCTCCCGTGTTCTCTCTTTGTTCCTCGCCATCCCGCAACTCTGCATCCTCCTCGTCTCTCCTGTGGCGACGGTGTTTCGCTTGATTGTCGCGTACTTCTTGACCCATATAGGTCTTGATGCCGTGTGACTTCTTTTATGAATTTGGGTTCCGACGGTTCCGCATGCACCATGCGCTTTTTCTGGTTCTTCATTACTCACTGCTTGTTCCTTTAGTGGCATTGCGATTTCTGGACAATGCATCAAGATCGCGTCATTCTCTGATTGCGTCATCGCGGGTCTGATGACGAAGCTTGTTCAGCGCACTCTCGCGCGCTCCTTTCAAATCGTCAGCTTGCAATAGTCTTTCGAATCGATGGGATCAATGTCATCTTCCAATTGCAGTTTTTTTCTTGTTTCGTTTTTGTTATTCTGTACAAGCAACTGAAGTTATTCTGTAATGATTGTTCCAATCATTGGTATATCTGTCAAAAGTTCTCTGCCTTCCTTTATCATCTTTCTCTGCGCGAAACATCGCGAGGCAGGCTGCCTTTGAAACTGCTTTGGTCGCAATCAACAAACTGGCATTTTTCTGAACGCAGTTGTGCCCTTATCAGAATCAGTTCCAGTTCTGTTTTTTCCAGTTTAATGTTCAGATGTCAAACTTCCATCATTCGGTCTTCTCCTCTCACCCAACTTGTTCACCAAGAAGACCCTCTTATGGGGGAACTCTTTCGGGAGTACGAGCTCTTTATCGGGTGCGCTTTTTGCGGACAGAAGGACGCCCATTACTTGGACTTCTGTCCGATAGTCTCGAAGGGGCTGGCCGCGAGGAGTAATTGACAGAGCGCAGACGATGCGAGATCTGCTTGGAATTGTTCTGTTCGGGGAAAAGGCAATGCCGCAAATGGGTTACTCCCTGCTTTCATTGTGGCAGATACGGCCACCACTCGTTCCTCTGCGAGCTTCCCGGGGGGAGTCAACCTATTGAATCTGACGCGCGTCTCCAAGCGCTTGAGCGAAAATGAGTGCGATTAATAATCTGGAGGAGGAACTCGATATCTATCTCCCACTAGTCAAGATGGGGTGGCAGTATCGCGGCTACAAAGCGCGAGCTGCAAGTTACAGTCTCCTTTCTGCAAGGGTGTTAGTCTGAGCTGATCTTCTAGAGAATCCAACGAATGCGCCATCAACAAGCAACATGAGTGAAGCGATGGTTGGAGCAAGATCAGAGCAACAGCGTCGAAGCCATTGTATGGCTGTAATTCTTCAGAAAACCCGCCTCTGTAGTTCAAAACTACTCAGACAATCGACCGGACCCCTCCGCCGGATAGTGGAATCTGCCAGAGTCGCGCCGGACCCACTCAGACAATCGCCGGGGGCAGGCGGGCACCGGAAAAATAGATGGCTGATTTCTCGCATTCCGCTCGCGGATTTTTTGGAAAGCAATCGGGACTTTTCGGAAGACCGCTTGCTGAGTCAGCGGGTTTTTGAGAGACCGCCTGCTGAATTTTTTTCCGCTCTTTTCTTTTGCAGATATATCGCTGAATCTCTGAGGAATCGAGAACTCAGCAAGCGGTCTTCCGAAAAGTCCTGATTGCTTTCCAAAAAATCCGCGAGCGGGGTGCGAGAAATCAGCCATCTATTTTTCCGGTGCCCGCCTGCCCCCGGCGATTGTCTGAGCAGTTGACAAATGAGAGCGGGGCAAATGGGCGGTCCCTTCTTGTAGGTCGAGGTGACATCACTGGCAGGCAAGTGGGACGCTTCTCCGGCCCTGCTGCAAAGGTACGCCATTTCTGCTCCGGAGGTACGCCAGATTTGGTAGAGCCGCGCCGGAGAATTTTGCACGCCGCGAGTCCGCCAGATTTGGAAGAGCCGCGCCGCAGAAAATCGGAGGGGTCCGGAGCACAAATGGGAGGTCTTCGGAGCACAAATGGGAGGGCTCCGGAGCAGGCTGCGTATCGATTTGGCGAGTAGCCACGCTGTGAGATTCTGAAACGTTCTTAAATGCGCGCTAATCTAGACTATCTAGTGTTGTGAGGAAAGTATCGTCTAAATAATCCGTTTATTGCTATCTCCACCGATGAATCACTTTGCCGTTTGCTGTTTCGCATCTCGCGTGTCTATGTGGGATTATCATGCGGTTTTCCGCGGATTATCAATATGACTGTTTTTTACATACCATATTTTGTTTTCAGAGCAGAGGTAATGAACTGTGAAGCGAAGCATGCATTGCACTGTGCAGCATTGCTTACGTGGATCTTAGGATTTGCCTATTTTTGCGGAGTTTTCACTGAACCTCAAATACCTATTACGTCAAGTCCATTCGAAAGGTTAGGCGTCACTTTGATTTTAATCCTTTTTTTGTCAATCCTTATTTTCAGTTGTCTCGCTTTTATACATTGAATTATAGTCGAGAGACATATGCTGGAACCAGCTGCCAGTATCATATCAGTAACATCAGGTGTTCCCCTGATGTTATGTTTATGGGATGGTGCCAGCCGCGTTCCACCATGCTAGTGGCTGCTTTCTGTATCGTTATGAGAGGGTAAAGGAAACTGTGCTACCGATGGTGTTTGCGCTAGCAACTGGTACAGGCTTTAGTAATGCTGTGACGCTTGATTTGTGGCAGATGTCCATATGCCTGAAGCCTACTGGTGACGTAAGATCTCAGCGCTGGAAGGTGGAGGGGGGGGGGGGGTGTTAGAGATGGAGACATAACCGTAGATATCGCATCATACCATTAACGTGATATTTTATCCTTGCCCGAGCAGTCATTTCAATCCGTTGTGCTGAAAAGATGAAATAAATTGTTGGTCTCAGTAATCGTAGAACAGAAGAATTTGCTCAAAGCTCTACAAGAGTTTTTTTGACAAGCTTCCAGTTTCATCCCGATTTTTTATAATGTACATCTTAAATCCTTGATGGAATCATGCTGTAAGCGAATGTTGTGCGAAACTTGCGGATGTTCGATTATCACCCTTTTCATTGATTATTCGTTGTTCAACATTCCTATGTTTACTCTGCTCCTTTTTCTGAACTCACGAGCTCGAGAAGCATTTCGGACGCACATCGATTGCATTTTGAGAACATTGGAGAGCAATTCAGCAATTTTGATGAGATTTTAGGGATTAAATGGCAACTTTTGTGTTACAAAGCTAACATACAAATTTCCAGGAAAATATAGCAACTAATATGAAGACATGTTACGATGCGGGAATGGAGAATTTTATTTTTGAAGTGCGTTTGTTTCCATTCATACCATTTCCTTTAGTGGCTTGAGAAGAAAATTCACCTTTTTCAATTTTAGGTAGTCGCAGATAACGCTATTCACCTACCGCCTCAACCACGAGTACGGAAAGTTGTAGTGCCAACATCTTATCGGTAGATTATTGTGGATCATACGGTTTTTACCACTTCTAACTTTGTCTTTTTTTTTATTTCATTTCGTTCTTTGTGTTTGATGATGACTGCTCTTTCTAGAACGAAGAGCGGTGCAAAATTCAAGGCTCTGCTTTACAATATTGTCTTGAAGACGATGTCAATATCCTCCAGGTATGTATATTGTACACAAACCGAAGTTCAATTCTCGATCTTTTTGTTCAGAATAACGATTGGATTGTCCATTTGGATGAAGAGACGCTACTGACCACGAATACGGTAGGTTTTAATTTCTGTTCTTCTTTTACACTTTGCTTTCACTGTGGTGCTATCCCCTTCATTTATACCAGTCGCTTGTCTAGCTGTCATCGGTGTTCACTGATTATCTTTGACTCTCATTAGCTTTAGAGGATTGAGTGATTATAAGAATTTTGCAAATAGACTATGCTTATGGCGAGGCACTATTTCTAACAACCTGTCCTAGCTGTTTTTATTGCAAACGTCGAAGTTTGCATACGCGAAATGTCCGGTTGTGAGCGCTCCATACCAAATCATCTTGTTACTGCCCTTGTTTGGGTACTTATCCCAGCGGCTACTTAGGTCAACGCTGCATGACTGGTTAATGTTTTCAGTTTGTTCTGTGTGCTATTACCAAATATTTGTATATTCTCTTACCTGTGTTATTTTTAGATCACGGGTTATCGTTTTGCAGATATGTGGAATACTGAACTTCTGTGAGGACGGTCGGCACCAGTTTGGCCAAGGTGTAATCACTTATGCTAGCGGTGAATTTGTCAACTGGTTGACGACAATGTCTGACTCTCGGTACGGTTTTCATGTTTTTCTACCGACCATCATTCGCCTATGTGAAACGTCGCAAACCAATCATCTATCGTTTTTAAAAGTCGCCGATGATATGGGCCAACTGCGACTGCATTTTAAACTGTTCCACAAACCGTTGTTTGGTTGGAAAGGTTCATTCTTCGTTACACCAGTGGATGTGAAATGATTAACGATATAAGATGATTTTTCGAAGAAGTTTGAAAAATTTGAAATAAATGTCTTATCTCTTCGTTCTTTCTTCTATCTTCTATCCACAAACGCTGGGGGTGAGAGGGAGGGGGTAGAGTACGGGGTGAAGGTCGCGCTGAACTCCTACCCGGGGGGGGGTCCTATTCGGCTAATTTGGGTGGGGTTTAGAGACAAAATTGGGGTTTGGAGCTTAATTAGGGCTAATTACAGTGTGCCGCGGCAGATTTGCCGCGGCATACTGTAATTAGCCCTAATTAAGCTCCAAACCCCAACTTTGTCTCTAAATCGGGGGGCTCCGGCGCACAAAATGGGAGGGCTCCAGAGCAGAAATGGGAGGTCTCCGGAGCATGGGAGGTCTCCGGAGCACAAAATGGGAGGGCTCCAGAGCAGAAATGGGAGGTCTCCGGCGGACGAGTGGCAGATCCACCGCTGGGGAAACCCCGCGGCCCTGCCATTTCTCCGGCGGAGGGGTCCTTCCGCTGTCTGAGTAGGTCCCCAATCTTTTGAGCCGATGAGCTGATAAGCCGACAAGGTGACATGAAGTAGTACAGTTTATTTTGAGGCTGTCAGAAGACACTTCATGAGAGAGAAAAGCGTTGGATGTTTGAGTTGCAACCTCCGCAGGTCGTCTGAAAGCCAAAGCAGCACTTACGAGTTGAAAGCTTGCTGATCGATAATGTACTATATCTAACTATAATTTGTTTGTGTCTGTAATGTGTTGAGGTTGCCCTGTATAAACATTCTTTCATTCTTTTGAATAGTATAGAATGCTACAATATACATGAGAGGAAAACAACCCACTTTTGGTAGAGAGCGACGTACTGCAGCGACTTGAAGGGAAGAGCAACGGTCCAGTTTTCAAAAAGGTCTCCATGACCAGGCATGTTGGAAGGCAAAATGACCATTTTGCCTTCCAACATGTCCACTCCTTCGTGACACTTCTCAATCCATCTGGGCAAGCAAAACCTATGCAGAAAAATATAGTAAGGTGGAAAAAGGTAAAGTAGGCATTTAGGCTTGATGTCACAGCCTAAAGAAACGGAAGCATCCGAAGACAACTTACACATCTGCTATTCGTCAGTGAACATAAAGCGCAAATCAGAAACGAAGTATTATGGAAGTTTTTAGAACAACCAAAATTCCTCCCTTGGCAGCATGACTGAGAAAGCTTGTGTTAGCCGATTCAAGCTGAGATCGAAGGAGAATTAAGCTAACGAAGACAAACTATGACCAGGGTAAAGCGGGGGGTGCGGCCCGCCGCACCGGGGGGATCGTATTGAGGAGTCAAAAGGGGAGGGGGTCGTAGTCGGGTAATCTGATAATAGCGATAACATGATATTCGTATCATATCCATAATAATTAGCATGTCAATCAACCCTTGTAGACAAAGTGTGAGCGAATTCTGCCGATTCAAGATACTAGGCTACCTAAGTGAAGTGGTTAAATTCCAACATGGTTAACTTTGTTTCAAAGGGAATTAGCTATCCGTTTTTGCGCTCAAGACAAAGCACTACTCCTTCTTTGTCCACCTCAGGAATACCGCTTCAGAAGACCTCAAAACTGTGGAATTAGAAGCCAACCAAAATCTCGTTTTTCCCATTTTTCGCTTTTGATCGCTGTGCTTTCACCAAATATTACTCAGAGCTAAGAAGACGAATCAGGCTTCAAACAAACAGTCCTATGAATCTACAAGGTTTAGGCTATCGATTCATATAAATATTGTCCTCTAAAATTGTTTTTTTGATATAGTTAATGGGGTACGGCTCCCCCCCTCAAAAGCTGCGGCTGCCGCAGCTTTTAAGGGGGGGGGGTGCCGCACCCCATTAACTTACCCTTGAAGCCGTTGAATGTCTACGATTTTAATGTCGTTGCTACCGTTCAACCTTCTTCTCTCTATAGTACGCTTTTCATCCAAAACTTTCCCGCACAAAATAAGATATAGCGCTTTTCTACTAACTACCATTCATCGTGCGGCTTTTAAAATATCAGATTACGGTAGCACCAACTATTCATCTTGCCGCCTTTCTGCGCTATTGCGTAAACAATGCAGAAAGGCGGCAAGCTGAATAATTTGGAGATGCTTTGCATTGTTCTACGACAGTTTTAGAATTTGTACTCCTTTTCGTTGGTTTTCTTATATGAGAACTTCCTAATTAAGAGATCTACTTCATGACAGAATGTTAGCTCGGTCTGTGCCGTTGTGCCGTTGTGCCGTTCAAAATTGTAAAGGTTAGCAATGGAGATGCTTGGGTTGAAGCACAGAGCAAGATGTACTCGCCTTCACAGGTAACATATTGAGTTCGATATTGAATGCGTTGAGTTCTTGTCTTTTCAAGATCGGAGCTTTCGTGCTTATGAACATGAAGGAAACTGCCGAAAACTACCTCGTAACCTCTGTACACAATGCTGTTATCATTGTTCCCACATATTTCAATGATTCACAGAGACAGGTACTCATTAGATTCGTTGTATTTGTGAACTATCATATCTCTACTGTCGTAGGCCACGAAACATGCAGGACAAATCGCTGGCTTAAACGTACTTCGAGTCATCAGTGAGCCTACTGCTGCTGCTCTTGCTTACGGCATGGAGAAGACCGATGATAAGATGTAAGTGATGTTCCATGGATATCGCTTTTTTGTGCAGGCCCCAGTTTTTTTTTGTTGCTGAGTTTTTTTTTTCTGATCAGTGATCAAAACTTTCGCTAAGATTTACCATCGGTTAGGTAGCTTGGTTTTACGGTAGCCAAACGTCAATTCTTCGTCATCAGATCTTAGCTTATCTTATTGCAATCTCGCTGACCTTTTCAAATGATACGGGAACTCCGATTGTTTGTCTTAGGGAACGGTCATAGTTTCGCAGCGTTCGTGGTGTTCGTGGTGTTCGCGGTGTTTGCGGTTGTCGGTGTTTGCGGTGTTGTCGGTGTTGTCGGTAAAATTGAAAAATTGTTATATTTTGTGTGGCGTGCCCCTCTGCATGGAGATTTATCTCTGTATATTAGCTTTTCACAAGCTCTTAAATGCTTTTTTTAGAATTGCTGTATACGATCTCGGTGGTGGTACCTTTGATATCTCAGTATTGGAGATCCAGAAAGGTGTCTTCGAAGTCAAATCTACGAATGGTGATACAATCCTTGGTGGAGAAGACTTTGATCATGCTCTCGTCAACTACCTCGCTCCCATGATAGACGTACGTTTTTTTTTTCGTATCCGACGGTCGTGTGCCGCACCCCCCGCTCTACCCTGACTATGACCAACTGTGAGCACTGCCAAGACATCGCTTGCAACACATCCATGTCACGTTGAAATGCTGACTCGCCATGAGACCCTTTGGGGGGAGGGGGGAGGGGGGTGGAAGTTGCATACATTACAATTACGCAGTGATACGTGAGGTACCCAATAACTACATCAAACAAATAGTGCAACCACATAGCACCATATGTCGCATGTTGCAGCAACATGCGGCAACATGTTGCTCTCATGAAGTACAAAGCAGACATGTAAGGACAAGGTTGCTTGCGACATTCACAACATGTTGCAGGGACATGCGAGTAATTCTGGTCTCAAGCAGTAACAAATTGCTTTAACACGTTGTCTGTTGCTTTGCATAGTCCTGTAGCTGCAACATGAGACATAACGCTGGTGTCAAGGCTCCAAGATGCTGCAACTTTCAAAGGTCAGCGTGTTGTTGCTGGGATGTTGCCGACATGCAAGCTATAAGTGCCGGTCGAACTGCAGAACTTTTGCCGCGCGCAGTGCGCCTTCCTGACGTGGAGCCCAAATCGATTCGTAAGCATGATAATGGAACGTCACGAGATTCAAAGCCTTCATAATATTGTCCGTCGCAACGACGACCAACCTTTACAAGTTTTCGGTAATTTGTGATTTCGCAGAAGTGTTTCTTTATCCGGGGGATGGGTCATCCACTTTTGGCTAATGACCGACAGAAACTGTCCTCTATGCGTTCCTAGGTAGATGCCGATGTTGTAAGGAATAACGCAGGCCCTCACCATGGGCTTCGGAGGCTGAATGCGGGTGATGTTGTGCGATATGCAGAAACGCCGCTTCAGCGCTCCAAACGCCTGCTCGACGGCTCGTCGCGCTTTGTCGCGCTCCCTGTTAAACCTCCTCTTTCTGACGTCATTCTCTATGGCCCGATCTCGGAAGGGCGCCATCACATTCCTAGAATTGGCAAAGCGGGCATCACCCAGGAGGCGAAAGCCTAGACGAGCACGACCTTGTTGAACTCGGCACCTGCTTGCGAATGCTGCCATCTAAATGAGTCGTGGTGCCTGCTCGGGAATCCGCAGTTGATGTAAATGAAGCGGGCCCTGGCATCCACTACCGAATCAACATGCCTTTTAGTACTGGTAGTGGTTGCCGAAGTTGATAGGGCGCTGGATTCGGATGAGGCAACCATCGACGCATCCAATGACATCTAGACAAAGCATTTAATCCAAGGAAGAAAAGGACAACTAAACAAAGCATTTTATCCAAGGAAGAAAAGGGAGATTTTAGCGAATTCTTGAGACCTTTGCAAGCACCACGCTCGTCCCACGGTCAGAAGTGGAGGAAGCGGGCCTCTATTGTTGAATGATTGAAAGCATCTACTGTCTGGGTGACGACATCACTCACTGCCTTTTGACACATCCAAAACAGTCACCTAACACAGTTTGATGACTGTCGGTGGCCAGATAGTGGAGTGTGATGAGAATCTGAAGCGAACACTGAATAATTATTGTGGACCTTTATAAAAAGATGTCCAAATCTGGTCCTCTTTGCTGATCTCCTAATGCCCGGCAGCAGCGGTTTCGGTATCCTCACGATCTTCTTAACAGCTTTTCTGCGAAATCTATACTTCGGGTAGAAGATGCGATCGCTCTGCTGGAACACAGAGGAAAAATAGATGCGTTGATAACGGACGTTCCTCTGGCGCAGCTGACAGACATTGAAGATGAGCGAAACCCTCTGAACAAATCATCTGATTGTTGATTCCACTCAAGTTTAGAAACCGACTATCACGGTGATAAATTTGTTCGCATTTTTCTAAAGGGTGTGCTTACAATAGAGTCAAGTGTTGAAGCCCTTGCACCTAGGACAAAACGCTTTGTGCCAGGCAGGGTTTGAACCTGATATGCCTTCCACAACACGCCGCCCTCTTCGCCGCTTTACAAACTGTGTTAAAGCACTACTTCCTGGACGGCCACTTCAGCGTTTCACAGCTGCGTAAGATGCATAATTCAATGATATGAGTAAGCAAAATTATATGCTTATTCATCATAACGCGATTATAAAACACTGGGAAAAAATACAAAAGAATGGAAAGGATGGAAACAGCAGTGAACAGCTGTGCGCAAAAAATCTGCCATTATGTATGGACTTTGCAGACGATTCTCAATCATCAATCGTACGATGTCGACAAAGACGAAATTTTTGAAGCCAGCGCAAAAGATTCCTGCTGCTTCGGACTTGAACCTTTGACCATCCTGATATCAGACCGACCTATGCGCCACTGCACCACTACTTTCAGTATGAATTGTCTCTACAACGCTATTGGAGCGTGTCGCAATAACTATTCAGGGATTCGGGTGCGCGCCGTCCTCATAAAAGGCAGTGGACAGGCAGAATGGACCCCTGTCAGATTTTGGTAGTGTCGGGTAGTAGACCCCCCAAGTACATCATAGCCCCAAGCCCACCTTCCAATTCTTGCGCTAAGTCCTGAAAAAGCGCTTCGAAATTCCACCCATAACGCCCACTCAATGGAAGTGGGCGGGGCTGGTGGAGTTTTGAAGCGCTTTTTTCAAGACTCAGCGCATGAATTGGAAGGTGGGCTTGGGGCTATGATGTACTTGGGGAGTCTACTACCCGAAACTACCAAAATCTGACAGGGGTCCATTCTGCCTGTCCACTGCCTGTCCTGTCAGCTCCTCCGCCTGAGCGCACTGCATAGTTTTTGATATACCGTGCAAGCGGCAGACAGTATCCCCTTTCGATCAGCACGCAATAAAATTGACCAAGCGGCAGGCAATGCGTCCGCACGTCGACCAGCAATCATTTGATCGTACAAGCGTCAGGCAATACATTTGGCTGCCAAACGGCAGGCAGGCAAAGAATTGCCCGTGCAAGCGGCCGTCATTGACCTTTCTGTAGAAACGCGTACAGGGGCGCCGTTCCATGCGCATCTACGGATATATATTTGAAGAATCCTGCAGTGAAGTGAAGCCAGCCATGCAGACGTTGTCAAATGTGAAGTCACGTGCGGCTCCTGCGTAAGTTACTTTGAAATCATACTAAATCGTCTTATAATGTCATTTGCAGAAGAACGGAACTGTACGTCCGTCAACGACACAAGTCTACAACAAACAACCCTTAGTAAGTAAATGGCAATGCTTATCCCGAGAACATGTTGTACTCGTACTGCAAACGATTATATTAGGGTGATCCAAAAGTAATGGGGCACCTTGATTTTTTGAACATTCTTTAAGATCTCTTCCTGATTAACTATGAACAACCAGCAATTTGAACGCTTTTGTATAAAGTGACGTTCACAGGTTATCTAGACAGCACCTTGCAGCACCTCACCGACATTCCTTCGAGCGGATGGCGGATGGCGTTCAAAGAAGTCAGACAGACTTTTTTGAACGCCATCCGAATTTGTGCTGCTGCATTTGAAAGTCCCTCGACATATGGCATACCATTTGAAAGAGCTTTCCAAGCTTTTTCTAATGATTGCTTAAATATTCAAAAATTGCTTATTATTCCATACAAAAAAGCACTTTATTCGAAAAAGTGCACTGTTTAACGCAGATTTTCAAACTAAATTTCATGTTTTGGCCCACAATTTTTTGAAAATGAGAAAAGTCGAAGTAATTTGCATATGTATGGATAGAGTGTAAAAAACACTATCAGAAAACAACTGTTAAGGTTGAGCTTATTTGATTACTTTGATAAAAAAAATAAGTAATATGTCTCCTGATACCCGATGCTATATCTTCTGTTCAAAAGATTTGGGACCACCGAGCTAACGTGGATTTGGCGACAGTCCCCTCACCCATTGCTGCGCAGATATCTCTGGCAGGCTCACTTGTTCTACTGCGTCGCTGCTGTTCAAAGTTCAAAATTACTCGAAGTGATGAACTTTAATTTCGAGCGCTTATAAAAATAACGCCGTGTGACAGTGCCCAACTATAGACTTCGATCAGAAGGTCTTTTTATGTACTAACATCTATCAAAACGTGGACTTCCAATTAGCTTTTCTTTTTGGAAAAAACTGCATTTATTCTCTAGGTGCCCCATTACTTTTGGATCACCCTAATATTTACTCATCTCATCTTATACTTCAATTCAGAGAATGTGTACAACAGACCGGACTTGATTTCGAACGACGGAAGAGAGAGACGCTCCCTCGTCTGTACGATTGCATCGCTGTGGGTACTTTTAACTTGAAGGAGGCGGCACAACTCATCTTGGAGCGGAAACGAAATGGACAATTCTAACGAAGTAAATTTTCTGTTATTTCTCGCGTCACTTGACATCCATATCGACCACTGGGAGTTCGTAAGATCGGAGGCCGCTTTCCGCGTTTAAGGCTTCTGCTTTGATGGACTGATCGACCTCGAGGAAGCCGTTTTGGAGATGCGCTTGTGCGAGTTTGCCAACTCCTTGCTGGCGAGTAAACCAAGGGTCCAAATTTGAAATAGTATAGTACTCTTAAGGTCAAATCCAGTGCACCAAGTTCGACCGCAGCAACCAAATGCTCGAACTGACCGGACGCGAGCTGAAAGGACTTGAAGTAAGCATTTTTTTCTCTAAGAAATTGTATTCGGATCTGAAACATCGAAGGACCCTCCCCGTTCATTACGGCTAGCAATCAGATTAGCTTGGGTCAGGCTTGGTACTACCTTTGTTCTTCTATTTTTTTCAGACGCCGATGGAGGAGCTGATCGAAAACTACAAGTCAAAGGCGGCGACAATTTTTTCCAGATGTTCGCGTGTTTTTGTTTATCCAGATGTTTTTTACCGGTTTCTGATAATGAGAGTAAGTATCATTCTAGCCCATTTGCAACCCTCATATTGAATGCCATAAGACATTCAGATAAGTGACCCACCTCATCTCATCCGGTGCTACTTTCGCCTGAATGGCAAGCGAGGACGCAAAGACTCTTTGGAAAATTTACCACGCCAGAACAACTATTACTGGGTAAGTTCAAAGTCAAATTTCTTGCATAATCTTACGATTTCCAGATTTCGTAGAAGGCCTTATTGGATACGGCCAAAACGAGCTGAAAAGTGGAGCACGAGCCAATACAACGCATTCAAAGTGAGTTCGGAGCCCTATTCTGTTTCGTTTGATATTTGATACTTTCAGATAAGTGCTAAGCCTCGGCAACGGATGCAAAACGACAAACAGCTTTGGATGCGAAGGTGCAGACTAGGATGGTGTACAGGAACGAACTGTGTAAAGCTCTTCAGCTGGCTCTCTGAGTATTCCTTAATTGTGAATAGCAAGTAAGTTTTATTGCTAAATTGCTTGATTTCAATAGAGATGTGCGCACTTATACCTATGATGAAAGCAAAGGGGTGTGGATCGAGGGCGACGTGAACATCTATTTATCAATTAAGGATGTTTTATTTTCTGAGGAAGCTGAAGCGGGCCAAGCTGAACGTTTCAATTTGAGGGAAACGCTGGACGACTCCATGAATTTAACTGAAGCCTATGGTCAGGAAAACCTGGTACCAGCGTTACAGTAATTCACGCATCAAATTTATCTGATATGATTTGTGTTTGTATATAAAATATTATTAGAGCTTTTATATCACGGGTGGCCGTGTAGGCTATTATTTTATACCGTCTGAAACTTTTGTTGTTTGTTAATGTCTACAAAGCATTGTTTTCTTAAACATATGGATGAAGTGATTGCTGACTCTTTATTTTGCGCAAAAAATACGTGCAAATTTGCAATTTTTTCTATAGGGCACTGCAAGCGCGCCGCTTTATTCAAGCAAGCGATAGGCAATCAAGTCGTGCAAGCGCCAAGCCTTACTCCCTGCAAACGGTAGGCAGCCATACCGTGCGTGGCCAAGCTTTAACCCTACAAACGGTAGGCAGCCGCCCCTTACATGCGCAAACGGTAAACAATAGCGTCATGCAAGGGCCACACCTTACACTTGCGATCGGACCTTCACCACCGTACAATCGCACATACCAACGAGCGATTGTAGCGGCACCGCAGACCGCCCGCACGGTGCGAGTCTTTGAGTAGATAGTAGCGTAAGAATTCGCCCCTTGGCAGTACGCTGAGGCGCTGTAATGTCAACTTAGGCAGCCGCAGCTGACGTAGTATGACGGAGATTTACTACGGGCCATAGTCCCTTACCCTCTAACTAATGGCACACGTTTCTCTTTGTACGCTAGGAGAGACTTTGATGAGAGGTTGTTAGGAGAAGTGTCGTCGGTTGCCGTGCCTATTGTGCAGGCTCACATATCAAGTTGCAAATGACCTGGGGATATAATTTTGAGCCCAGCTATAAAGTCGCTTGTACTCAGATTTTTGGCATTATGAATAGATACTACTTTAACAGCAGTTCCAATCGCTTGTATTCTATAATTTTTGTACGGAGCTATCATGAAATTGTTATACTGTATGTATGATTGCTGAGTTCACGTGTTTGTCCACACAAACGATTCCGGATTTTAGCTACTACATCTACGTATTTTGGGACAAGGTTAATGAGCCTCATCGTATCTCAAATAAAGTAATTATTCAAATGCCAGACCCATCATTTTTAATCTTTTCAACGTGTTGGAGGAAGTGAAATGTGGTGTACTAATAGCACAAAATGTGACCTGAACTTTCTTAATTCTAGACCTCTTTCCATGTGAAGCTACGAAAATGAGGAATTCCTTTTGGGAGGACGTCCTTTACAAAGCACTCGGCATATTCCACCTTCCTTGGCAACTGGACAGCAAAATGAATCTTTTTTGTTTTCAAGGAAGAGCTGCCGAGCCGGATCCTTCAGATTTGTGAGAAATTATGTTGAATCTAGAACACACATAATCAAGTGTATCGTAAAAAACCCGAACTTTCTTCTTCAAATTCCGCCTCATTTCTGGAGTTTTTGACAGCGAGAAACACTTACTCCTACAACCCTTCCGGCCAAATTTTTCATCATACTATGAATGTGGAAAGTTCCTATGCAAACAAGTGATTCCCACTTCTAACTGGGTAATAGGTAATCTGTTTGATGTTCTGATTGATGCTGATTGATGTTTTTCTAAACCTCTGCAAAAAATCGTTTTCTGTCAGATATCAGTCTTCATGTTCAAAATCAAAACAGTCTAAGGGCATCCCTTCAATTCTAAAGCAAAGTTTCTACTTCAGTTAGCACTGTATGGCTGTGAGTACTGGCCATGCATGCGGAACGAGGAGTGCAAGCTCAGCGTCATGGAAACAAGGAAGCTGCTTTGGACCTACGAGTAACACTGAATGATCACATCTGCCGTTACACTATACGAGCCAAAATGAAAGCTCCAATTGCTCAGAGAATGCAGGAGGAGAAATTATGGTGGAACGGGCACGTGCGAAGAAGAAAAGAAAACCACATCACGAGTTTAAGCAGAGGTAGCTAGCGAGTTGTGGGATCTTGGAATAGGTGTAGACCTTGCATTAAATGCAAGAACAACTTCCAAGAAAAGCAGGCCCTGCATAAGGCGGGATCGCAAGGATAAAAAACGGTCCATGAAAAGCAAGAAAAGTTTCACTGATTTTTTGCATATCTCGCTATCTCACTTTATGTCGTACTACATTACTTCAGAACGAATATTTATTAGAAATAAGCATTTTTGTCTATTTGCAGCCATTGTCTCCGTACTCGCTGACATCGACATTGAAATAGTGTAGGTGCTCAGAAATTGATGTTGTAATGTCGAGTCCATCGCTGCATCCTTTATCCTCATCAGCTGAAGCAGACTGTTTAGCAGATACAAGCTAAGCAGAGGAGTAACATACCCGTACAGACTTTGAAAGTCGCTCCAGGTTTCATATCATTGTGATAGAATGCCTGAAAGTCATACTATGTCAGTAATGTAAAGTATGCTTTCAATTTTACACATTTTACTGGCTGAAAATGTAATTTTTAGAATGATTTAATCAATCTGCAACCACAAACAACAAACGAAAGCAATGAGCCATGTGTTCAAATTTTCTAACTCTCAAAGAGAATGCAAAGTGAGAAGCTTGTGTCTAACCGGATGCGTATTAGAAAGCACAAATTTCCATTTCGCGACAAAAAACGCAAAACCTTTTGAATGTCATCAACTTTATCACTTGTAATTTGTAGCTCTATCTCATGTGGGTTCTACAATGTCTCTCCCATCCCTTTTTCGCACGCTGAAAATAAAACAAGATTCCGAGCGTACCTCGTATTTGTGATGGTAGTAACCTTCAAGATCCTCTGGTGGTACATGAGGAACCATATCACGCCAATGAGTAACGCGAAAAGTGTAGGCCATCTGGAGTCGAAATTTGAGAGACTATTTATTTGCGAAGCTTACGAAAACTATCCTAACCTGCTTGTCGTGAGCAGCGGAGAAATCCTTGTTTCCAGTTCGTGGTTGACCGAATGTTACGAGCTGCACATTGTTAGCAGGGACTAGGTTAGTGGCCACTATGTATGAGGCTGCTAGAGTAGCCATAGCTCCACCAAGAGAATGGCCTGTTACCTGAATTGAGATGTCAGAAAACAGTCCCAGAGCAAAATTTGCTTGCTGTCTATAATGCAAAAATGGGTAAGTTTCTCCCGGCGGAAAATCTCACCCAAACTTGATAATTAGGGTATTTTGTGCGCAACGTGTTGAAGTCGTCCTTCATTCCACCATTCCATAGATCCATAAAAGCATCACTGAAGTATTTTGATACTTTCCCACCTGCGATCCATTTTGTCTAAAATATAATGCACTTACATCTTCAAAGATATTCTGACACTGCATTTTTCCCTAGCAATCATAATGGGTAACGCAAATATGGTGAGGGTTGGAGCGTAAATTATTTTCGAACATATTCAAATGCAGTCGATGTTATGTCCTTGTTTGGAGAATAAAACCAACAAATTCCAATTTCTTACACAGCTGAATGTCGATATGCGTATGTGTCTGCTTTTCTGTCTGCGTGTCTGTTTTTACGTATGTTACGAAGAAAAATTCACCTCTGAACCACACGATCAGCTTTTGTTACATAATAACGTTTGTAAAAAAACCCATAGTTTTTATAGATTGCATCAATTGCAAACTTCTCAGACAGTCGATGGGATACCTCCGGAGCAGAAGTGGCAGGGTCGCGGGCTTTCCCCAGCGGAGGATTGCCACTTCGCGCTCCGGAGTTCTGCCATTTCACGCATTTTTGTGCTCCGGGGCTCTCTCAAAAGTGGCGCACCTCCGGAGCAGAGATTTGCGCGTCGCGGAGAGGGGTCCCATTCGTCCTGTTTGTGACGTCACCGTGACGTCACGACGAATGAATGGGACCCCTCTCCGCGACGCGCAAATCTCTGCTCCGGAGGTGCGCCACCTTTGGAAGAGCCCCGGAGCACAAAAATGCGTGAAATGGCAGGGCTCCGGAGCGCGAAGCGGCAGACTCGCGCCATATGCTCGCTGGAGGTATCCCTTCGACTGTCTGAGTTTGAGCTACGGAAGTCGGCACAGAGGGTAATTACACATACTGAGTACGAATATGATTACCGTTTGTAAAAACAGCCACTACTTCTATGTGTTATGGAATTTCTTTGCGCTGGGCTGTTGGTATAGACGGGGAGGGAGAGTGAGCAGGCTGATTAAAAGAACACGGGAGGAGGATAGAGAATGTCACTTGGGAGTTGTACAGGGAGAGGAAAATGTTTTGCAGAAGTTAGGACGGAAGCTTAACTTCTATCGTTTTGTGTTGAAGCGCGTCGCGGCAATATTTGAACAAAGTTATCCTTGTAATGTAGGCCACTTGCACTCGCAAAATGCCGGTATTACCGACATAGCTATTTGTTAAAGGCAAATGTTACCCAAAATCTCGGTATTGTAAGCACACTACCAAACGTGAAATCTATTTGACTGCATGTTTATTTGCAAAAGCTTCTTGTGAATGTAGTATAATAAACATTATTCTTCTACTCATACTAAGAAATTTCGTCTTTTTTTCAGAGTTCAAGAGACGTTTTTTATCATATAAAATTACAATACAGCTACCATAAACGTTCTCGAACTGTAGATCTTTTTCAAAGCTACGTTTACTTTCTGATGATGTGACATACGGAAGAAGTACAGTCTGCGAGAACTCTTTTGAGGCAGCGTCCAGGCAAAATCTGTACTCCCCTTTAGTACCTAGTCTACAAGAGGGCCTCAGAAGTACGACATCTGCGTTGCTCCGGTCTTTTGATATGGTCTCTGAATGGAAAAATGGACCTGGAACACGCGAAAGTGCTATCAAGTCACGCTCGCCTTATCAAGCCCAGTCCAGCCAAAAGTTTAAAGTCGTTTGTGCCTTCAAAATCCTCCCAGAAATCGACTTTTTTGAGGCTTTTGCACATCACTGCATATTTGTAATCAAGGCCAAGGAAAGGCTTTGGAATGACAAAAACATGGAAGACGAAGATTTGGATGGAGGCTGCGGGGTGTTGGCAGGTAAAGACTATGCAGCGCAGGTGCTCCTTTTCGAGCTCTTTTCAAAATACCAGACAGTACTGCAAATCTGCGTTACATAGCTATTTGCTGCGTCCAATCAAAGTTTCCTAACCCGCATTCATGAAATAATGAGTATGTGCTGGTGGACTCAAGTGATTGCCGTCGTAATGTTGATACTGTTCACAATACTCGTACCTGCGTATTGAACACGCTCTTGTCGGCTTCCATGACAAGCTGGAGGAATCCATCGGTTCCCCTAAAGATGCTTGTTAATTTGAGATTGAAAAATACCATAGTATAAATAACCGAACAAAACTAACTTGAAGCTCAGCACGATTGCTTTGTCACCGTTAAGCACTGCTGAAAATCCAGAACAGATATCGCTTCTAAAGGAGTCGCACTTCACATTCAACTGACGCTTTAGCTGAAACAAATGCTTTTGGCACCTATCTTTCCAAGATGTAAACTAACCACTGCGTTCGTGAATTTATTTGTCAGACAACCTTGTGGGCTCTTTGCATATGCAGCCGCTGCAAGTGGCAGCATCTTGTTTCGAGCCACAGCATCCGCATAAGTTGCATCAATGGATGATGGAGCTGCATTCGAGCAAACAAACAAGCAGGAAAGGATGACCCAGTTCATCTTCAAATGATTATACATAATTTTACATTAGGTCGAATTGCATGATAATGAGATGATGCCCGAGCCATGAATTGGAGAGCATGCAGGGAGATGTACATATAGAAAATCTCAATCTTGATATATCACTTTGTGCAGCTGCGCAAAGTCAGCTTGCAGTTACCCATGCTTACCGTACAAATCTTGATTGGCACACAAAAGAAATGGCGCAAAGCTTTTGCTTGAAAAAAATCACAACCTAGCGAGTCGAGACGGGCTCAAATCAGGGAGTGAGGAGTGACAAGCTCAAAACTTTCTTGAATTAATCAGCTGTTTAAAATTTTTTCGATGTCCAGATCATGCGTTGTTACGAAAGCTTCTTGTGCTCCTTACAGACCCGAACACTAGCTAGAGGAGAATAGAGGGAGGTTATAGGATTTTTTCCGATGCTTGCTTTTTCGAGGCAGTCTGAAGTAAAGTCTAGGGAAACAGTGAATGTGCTGCAGTTAGCTTTTCTGCGTGAGATGTATGAACTACTAGCTGGCATACCCGGCTCCGCCGTCGGAATCCCCATGCTCACTTACCCCCCTGTGCCAACTCCCAGCCCCGTAGCTCAAATTTTGCAAAAAATCGATAAAATCGATATCGATCGATACGAATAGCCTATGACACCCGCCGGGGCCCGAAGTGTATGTGTGCCAAGTTTGGTCCGGATCGGTTCAGAAATGGAATTTTCTATTCGGAACATACGTACACACAGACAGACAGACAGACATACATACAAACAGACATTCAGCTTTATATATAAGATTTGCAAAGTGGCCAACAAAAAGTGCTAAAACATTGCTGGCGAAGAAATCTTATTGTCTTCAACAAAAAATCAAAATTTCTTACAATCACAAAGATTCTGACGACGGAAGCTTATGAAATGATCTTGACAAACAAATGTTCATAGAACAAAAAGATTTTCACCAACACAGGTTTATTTTCAGCATGATCTCGTCAACTTTGCCTTGTGAAAGTAAACCAGAGGCTTATGGCCCCTTTCACTTCATGTAGAAATTATGTTAAAATCATGCTGCTGCATTTCGTAAGAGTAAGGAAAGGTAAACTTTTAGCGCAACGTTTCCTGAGCTGGAGACCAAAGTATGAAAAGACTGATTTTGGTATATGAACAGGTATTTGAAGGTGTTTCTTAATATCGAGTTCTATAAACGTTTAACAATTGATAATTTTTTTTTTCTTTTTCGATCAAACATACTCTAGAAACTTGCTTTTCAAAGCATTTCTGCTCTATATGTCAACTGGGACTCCACTCCACGAGTCAGGCTAAATCAAGCAGCTAAAAATGATGAAATGTATTAACCCTTCAGCCCCAGTATTCACAAAGAAACAAATACGCGTTCAAAACAATCTAAAAAATCAAATTGATTATCAGAACATCATTAGGTTATTGTGGAAACCATTCATCAAAATTCAATGAGAGCTGTAATTTGGTCAGAGTAAGGTGAAGCTGGTCTCTTCATCTGATAACCTATCAGAAAGTCTCGCATCTCGTGTAATGGCATGACTTTTTCAACAAGATAAGGAACTTACGGAAACTGCCACCTTCTCCTTTTCTTCATCAATCGAACGTGACAAGGAATACAAGTGATAGTCTTTAAATTATTGTATCGATCGTAGAAAACAGTAATCTGATTTCTTAGGAGACAACAATTTTTTTCAAATTTCATATGTATTAGGTTAGCCCAAAAGTTCTGTCGCACCATTTTCAAAAATTCATAACTTCTTGACTTATTCGGAGTATTTGCATAAAATTAGTTTTTTGTGTTGAAGAAATTATGCGCTTCGCAGTAGCATCTGAAAGGCTTTCTATCACACATACAAGCAGAGATATAAGCTGTGCAAGAAAATCACTCAACTTTTTTTTCTGCGCAGGGTTGCCAAAAATCTAAAACTTGCGCTAAAAATCGGAGTACTTGATAGATTTTATGACAAGGTCTTTATATAACGAGAAAGTTCGCGTTAATTATGCTCTTCTGCAAAAAAAGTTCTGATTTTCAAGCAAGCAATACGAGACTGAATTTGATTTGCTTTGGCACTTTTTTCGAAAATCATAGTTTTGGTAGAAATGCTCAATCGACAAAAAACTCTGCTTAATTAGAAAGAGCAGGGGATACCTATAATACCTTCTGCTCTGATTTTCAGTGCAAGTTATAGGTTTTTTACGATGCCACACAGGAAAATTGAAATTTGAGTATTAAGCCTTTTAGGTGCTTGTAAAGCGGATGACCTTATCTTTCTAATAAAATTAAATGTGTGCAAATTCCCCAGATGATGGTGCGACAGAACTTTTGGGACAACCTAATAAAAATTGAGCTGTGCTGATCTTACAGATGTTATGTCATTTTATTCGCATCGTCAATATAAGAAGTACGAGATGACGGCAAATAATGATCACTTTATCTATAATCCCATACCTTTATCTCAGAATTTGCTCAAATGGCACCCATAATGGCAATCATTATGAATTTGGAATTCTTCCTTCATAACTGTTAATTGCGAACTCCATGTCCAGATTTCGAGGTTTTTTTCTCTCGGGTTCATTAAACTAATCGTGGTGAAATCCACTTATTGCTCCATACAATTATATGCACGCAATCATCGTCTAGTACCGAACATCATGCAAATACATGGTTCTCTGGCTCTTAAGCTGAAGGTATGTATACTTGCACCACATACATAGTGAATCATAACTGTTTGCTATATTATAAATTCTTCTTCAACTCAACGACTGACTATCTATACATGACTGTTATGGAAAAGCTGAGAATGCCAAATTTTTCAAATTGTGCCAAATTCTAATAGAAATAGAGCATTTTATTGCAGGTGTTTGGCAGTTCAAAGGAGGTATTGCCTTGGTTTCTTGGTGACGTATACGAATCTTCGACGGGTAGTGGTTGCGATAGTGGTCTCTTCATAGTCCATGTCGTCCAGTATGGTGAGAGGAGCTTGTTTTGATCCGATAGGAGAGCCAAATTGGGTAGGAATATCAATCTGTAAATGATGTATTTAAATTTGAGTACAAATCCACACTGAGAGTTAGGACGAATCAGCTGTGCATCTGTTTATTACTAAAACATAGTTAATTCCCTACTGTTATGTAAGGGCTTTTTTTGTCCTACACTTGGCTTTTTTATAGAAACGATGCCTCCTCTAACTCGGGTAAAAAAGCGGACTGCTGCGTATCAATCCTAAGAAAGCCCTCGGGACCCCATAACAAGGTTCAAAACGATTTTTAGGAGATCGAACGATGATTTTTGGAAGGCCATTGATACAAGGTCTCGAAGAACCGCTGAAGAAAAGGTTTCATTGGATCGCCGCGGCGAAAAAATTGCGATGAGACCGTCGTATGCTCAAAATTCAACAAAAATTGAATTTTTTTTACATCTTAGTTACTTTAGAGCGAAAACGGACAGAATTGTTGTGTGTCGATCAAAAATGACAATACTCTTTTTGTGCAGAAGTTTTCATTGCGATTTTCCATCCCGGCAAATCAATGAAAACTCCTTCAGCGAGAGTGAATTGGAATTTGGTGGCTTCCCTTGTATGTATCATTGGCTTTTCAAGAATCACCGTGCGATCTCGTGAAAATAGTGAATTAGTTATGGGGTCCCGACCGTTTTCTCAAACTAAGCCGTAGTCTGCTTTCTTTACCCGAATAAGGGGCATTGTAGTCATAATACAGGGCCTTTTCCGAGATGGTGAAAGGTTTGAAACCGAAAACACTGCTGTACTAATGATGTTTTTTTCTTACTTTACGAAAGGGGATTCAGTACCCGAAAAGTAGTAGTCATAGGCTAAATATTCAAATGCGAGTTTGTCTTCCGTAATCGTATCATCTTGCTTTTTTCTACATCACCAAAAGACTTTTAGTATTTTCAAGTCCAAAATTATTAATATGGTGATCAAGTGTAATAAGCAGTTGGATAAAAAAATCAGAGAAAAGGTTCAGTAGGGATAGATACTCTAAGCATGCACTTTCTTTCAGAAAAATAAATCATGAGTACTCTGCGTTGATACCACTGCTAACCTCACTGCTTTCTTCAGTCGTTATTGGCAATGCTGTCGTAGTTGATGTAGTTGTAGTCGTCTCTACAAAACTATAATATTATAGGAATAACTTAATCTAGATCAAATACTTGGTATCGAAAAGGAAAGGAGTTTTCCTATTGATAACAGAAATAACTGTATGAAAACTCAGTTCACGCACGTTTTGCTGTGGTGGATATGGGTTCGATGGTAGTCGGTCTTTCTATCCTTGTTCCAGTTATTGTACCAGGAGCAGAACCAAGCATTGGCATTCTAGGCCTTAAAAATGAATTTTTACTGCAGTGAGGGCCATTAACATCAATTTCGTCTTGAACCGGCAGCGACCATAGAACTTTTTTCTCTTTTTCACTCTCTATTTTCCATTTTGGGTGCAGTTTTTTTGGCATAGGCCTAGTGAAAAAAGCTCGCCTTTCTCCTCCTGGAGGTTGTATCTCTTGACGAGCTGGAGGACCAGCCTTGAAACCACTATGGGGTCCTGTCCCTAACATATTCTCACCACGAACTTCTGCGTCGATCATCGCGGGTGTGGAACTGAAATTTTTTATGCGAAGTCTAAATGTAGCAGAAGAAGGATGTCGTAGTAATGTAGGATAAGAAGGAATTAGGATAAGGCCCAAATCGATTGCTTCGTCCTACATTTCATTATACAGGGTGTCCCAAAAGTAAGTACACACTTTTCATTCGTTAATATCTCTCTTCCCATTGTATATTATTCCGCCATTCAAGTACCATTCCGTAGAGGAGGCTTCAGCTTAGATTGACGGCATTGAATAAAAAACCGACCACTCTTCATTACTGTAGGTTTACTGTAGGAACTTCGACAAGGATTTTAGGCCATAGAAAGCCATCTTCTGCCTCGAAACAAAACCAAACAATCCAAAAACGCTTATAATATGGTAATGGAAGCCTCTGATTTTGAATATAAAATTTCCACTTTACTGTGATGCTTCTTTCCAAAGTTATCCCAGGTAAACAGTAATAACTGAATCCCCACTTTTTGTCGGAAATGTGATTACACCGTCAAAAAAGCTGAAAACACTCGTAAAAAGTTGTGTAGTGAAATCAGCGTGCGCGCGCGAAAACCCTAGTACGTGACTTTCCAGATTATTTGTAAAAAAATTTTTCAGATGGCATATTTCACAATAATTCCACATGCTGGAAGTTCTCACCGTAATTCGTCAGTAATAAAAAATAATCGGTGATTCGTTCGATACTGTAAATCTAAGCTGAAGCCTCCTCTACAGAATGGTACTTAACTGGCAAAAAAAGACCCATTGCTAAGAGAGATATTGACGATTGAAAAGTGTGTACTTACTTTTGGGACACCCTGCATATCATCAAATCTCCAAGTAAACCGTTCTCCCTTCACGAAAAAGGCTGCACTTACACCAAGTTATAGACCATCTACTCTTACTGTTTAGTCTACTGTAGCAATAAGCGAATGGGAATTTTCGGCAGCTAAATCACTCCTATTTTCGTCTTTTCAATAACGGCCATTACTGGACGATTCCAGTCAGATTCTAATTTTCTTCAAAACTGTTTCGACTTGTAATTGCTGTCCGTTCGATTTCACCGATACCTTTCCTCAGTAAAACCAGAAAACACTAGAGTCAATTAGACATAAACCACAAAACATCATTTTCTAAAAATCGTAACTTCGTTCTATCTCTATATTTTTGCAAATTTTTGATGGGCATCTGTTACTTAGAAAACAAGTTGGCTAATTAGGAATATGTGCAATACATTTGCATGGCAATCTTTAGCTCAAGAGTTACGTCAATCATAAAGTAATGTCCTTTGACATCTACCAAGAATCTTAGTTCATATAAAATGTTTCAAAGACGCGCAGAAAATGATTCAATAAAATCAGGTAATTTGTAAACCCGCAACGCTGAAGTTTCAGGATTTTGGAGGGCTGTTTGGAAGAAAACACAGACATAGCAGCAGTCGTAAAAGGTAAATAGTACGGGTTATCTGGGGACGGGATTTGCACACCCTTACGGATGTCAATCAAGCCTTTATATGTATGAGAAACCTATATTTTCATACGTTCCATTATAGCTCATAAATCTTCGTATGAACTGAATAATTCTTTGTTGAAAATCTCAGGCGACACGTATCCGAAAGGATCCTCTTATATAATCCTATTCTATTACATCGTTATAATATGAATTGTGAATGGTCATATTGTTTCTTCGGCAGCACAGCGGGCTAAATAGCTTTCAGGTGGGCCTTAAAGCGAGAAAGTTCAAAAAGCAACTTTCGACTTTATCCAATGTATGCAGCGTCGAGCGTACTCATTAGTAGGTATATAAAAGAGTAGACCAGAAACAGGTACCGAAACCGTCTGAATTAAATACCCTGTAAAGAAATGTAGATGCATAAACAACTACTACGGACGCAAAGTTATCATTGATCGTGCAAAAATAAATGTCATGTTTGTAAGATCTATGATGACGTTCGCTACATGGCTTATCCACTAAGCACTGCACCTATTATGCTCATAAATCATTATTTGAATGCCCCATAGTCTAGAATGGCCGCGTTTACGAAAAAAAGCTCATAAATTCAAAGAATTGTTTCAAGAACAACGAAGATAAATTTGCGATAAGCGTTAAAATACCAGTGAAAAGGTCATGGTCGCCTCGCCATGTATCTTGAGAAGGTCTTTGAATTTTTAGATTCAAGAGGAAATTATCCGTCAGTTTTATCATGATGAATTAGTGAACTAAAATTTGTGCTGCCATCGCATCTCTAGAGTTTTACTAGCTATACCTAAAGCCTTACAGCTCATAGAAAGATTTTGTAAGCCGAAATCTCGAAGATATAACCGCTCTCGATAACGAAGTATGAGCTGGAGATTGCAAACAGACGTAAACGAAAAATATATGTGCTTACTCAACGACTGTATCGGGCATCTCGGGAATATCCTTTTCTGCGCTGATCTTTGTCTTGTGTCGAAGGCCTGGTTTCGATGCGATTGAAGTTCCGTACTGTGAGGCAGGTTTGGACAATTTCCGCTAAACAAATAACAATTAAAATCGAATGGTAATTTAGCAGCGTTTCTTTCTCGCTTTACCGTACTGATGTACGTACTTTACATACTTGCGTGAGACTCCTCATAGTCGGATGATATCACCCCTCCTATTTTCATGAATGTTATGTATTTTGAACCCTACTTTCGAAAAGCGACTATTCTCAAAACCGGTTGACCAAACCTCGTCTAAGATAAAAGCGAAATCTTCTGGAGTAAGAGCTTAAATGAGTGTCATTATCACCATGAAGAACCCAATGGGTTTACACTTTGGTCATATTTTCATCTTTATTTTTGGGATTAAATGAAACCATACTTAATATGATAATCTCCCATTAATCATTACACTCCTTCCTTTCCAAACTTATTGTGTAAAGTACTCACCGATTCGCTAACCATATGTAATTCCATAGGACATGGGCAGAACTTCGCGTCTGCACCCTTTTCTCCAGGTGGTCCTGAAATAAAATCTAGAATTGCTCAAAATTGGGAGTTAACCACCCACCTTTTGGTCCTCTATCACCAACATTGCCATTTACTCCATCCAAACCATTTGGTCCCGGTTGTCCGGGTGGTCCAGGCGGTCCGTAGATGTAATTCCTCTGATGCGAAAAGATAGCTCACGGCTGGTGAAAAAGTTTTTGACTACCTTTCCTCGCGGTCCCTGTGCTCCTGCTCGCCCAACAGGTCCGTCTGCTCCTTTTGGCCCTGGGTTACCTATGCCACCTTCGGCGGGTCGGCCGGCTGCGCCGCGTCTTCCAGGATTTCCTGGATGACCAGCTGGTCCAACATCGCCCTCAGGGCCGATTTCGCCTGCAATAACATGTTCTTACTAATTCGAAATGGCTTTGGTAAGGAATGAGGTAAAAGCGTTACCGTCGATTCCATCCACAGCTGGAATCCCCGGCGATCCCTTATTCCCTTTCTCTCCTTGCAATCCTCTATCTCCCGGTGGGCCTTCTGGTCCTGTATCGCCTGCCGGGCATATTATGCATTTTTCTTGCTGTTCGGCCAGAATGTCGCGAGCATCTATACCACGCTTGCCATTCGGGCCATCAGCACCCTGTGGACCATCTTTTCCAGGTACGCCTCAAAATTGCTCCATAATACTCTCACAAAAATGCAATAAAAATCTCGTACCTGGTGGTCCACGTCTTGCTGGAGCACATACCACTGCTCTTTTCTCTCTGCTTTGTTTGGAGCTATTCATTAATTTTGTTATGTCTTTTTCCAAAACCTGAACGAAATTATTTTTGCATAAAAGGAGAAATATATAGCGACTCTTACCCTGAATCCTTTTATTGTCTGCAGAACAACATCGCGAGAATTTTCTACTCTTTTCACAATCATGGGCATGTAAGCCAATTGTAAGATTACCGTAAAAGTAGAAAGAGTGATAGTCAAATATGCAGCATAGTAAAACCACATCTAAAATATATTGGAAGTAGTTCCCAAGTAAAGTAATCTACAGAAAACTGAAGTCTTCTCATTGCTTAGAATTAGAAATCAAAAAAATGATTGGGCAAGAAACACCTTATAAGGACGGCTAATAATAAATTTGGACGCTTTAGCCTCTCCTACAAACGTCGCATACAAATTTTCGTCTACATACCTGGAAAGAGTACCTCAATGATAATTTGAATATAATAATCTTTGACAGAACCTTATTTCCTCATGAAAATAGTCGCAGAGAAATGATGAACTCCTTTTTTTCATTGTGCGGCAATGTGTGAAAATTCCTTTTTTGCAAATCAAAGAATTTCAAAATGACACATAACAAATTCTAGTTATTCTCTAAAAAGAAAAAACTTGGGTCTATTCAATTGTTCACTCATCTCTACATCCATCATAGCATAAAACGAATCTCGGAAAGTCAAACTGAGCTTTCGACTTTTGCCCATATTAAGGCATAGGGGTGGTAATAGAAAAATCTGAGTAGGTGATATGTGATAGTAGAAGCTTTTCACTTCTTCTTATTGTTAGAAATCATAAATCACAACAAATAGAACAAGAGACTTTTTCATGGAGGTTTGCATAAAGAAAAAGAAACGTGATTTCTAAATCGATATCTCAGTCAAGGAATGATATCACAGTGAAAAGGTAAACTTGTTAAAATCTTATGAAACACGATTGAGACCGAAAGCAGAGCAATACTAAGACTTCAAGCGAATTTATCGAGAAGAAAACGAATGTCATCGCAATCCCACACATGTCGATGCGCAGTGAACTAGGTAAGAAAAATTAGGTCGAATTATCGCCACGCTGACCCCGTTTCTATAGTAAAAGAGTATTTGATATGACAGACACAACGAGAGAAAGTTAATGTTTGTGCAAACATTTTGGTGATGTGATAACAGGTGATATTCACTTTCTTAGACGAAGGTAATTGTAAAAGTGCCAAATCTCTATTATATCAAAGTCACTATCAGGGCTCGGCACAGGTGGCTTACAAGCAAGCTGGATATCGTTTTTGGTAAGATAGCAAAGGGGGTTTCGTTTTTGTGAGCGAAGACATACGGAAAAACTTCGTTTTTTCCATATTCATCTAGCCACCTCGTGCCGAGCCCTGGTCATTATAATCATTTGCAATTGATTCAAATTGACGAAGAGCATAGTGCAGAGCAGATAGATGAAACAGCTTTCGTTGCTAACTTTATGTCAGTTTTTATCCAAAGATTACTAGTGACGTGACGCTCAACCTTCCAAATGGCGAGAAATCGGGGAGACCCCTTTATTAGGTTGTCCCAAAAGTAAACCTCTTTCTAAACGAAACAGACTATTTTTAGAAGACGTCGGATGCTTGGATAAAGCAAAGCGCGCTCTACAAGGAGAACAAAAGAGCACCTAGTCGCGGAACATGTAGAATTTGGAGCTACGAAAGAAATTTTATCACCTGAAAATCGGATTTTCGCCAAAAAATTCTACGAACTTTCACTGTGAAAATCATTTCCTAGCCGAATACCTGTTTGTATGCCTGGCCGTCATGTCGATTCGACAGAGCTTAGATTACTATCTGGATTTAGAAATCCGTAAGTGATCGTGTTGAATAATGGGACGCTATTTACAGCGAAGGAGTATCAAAATTTTTGCTAAAAGTGGGAATCGACATTTGCGCTCGCCGCCTTTCCATCCACAATAGTGGTCAAGCCAAGCTTTTCTGAATATTTTCTTTAAGAGCAATTATTACGCTCAATCCAAGACAAGTTCACAGACCAGGCCAGAGCGAGTACATCAAATGAGGACCCGCTTACGATATTGAACCAGAAGTCCGAAGAGAAATATGAAGAGAGAAAAAGGAATGACGAAACTATCGAAAAGCATGCTTGCACCCAATTTTTTACTATTGTGCATAACTACGTACAAAAGCACTATTTCAGAGCTGTCTACATCAGTAGAACTCACCATGAGAGTCATGATTATCTTTTCGTTAAAAGATCAGGATTAAAACCAAGTTGTAATAGGGGGAAAACAAATTCAAAACTCAAATAGAACTATTATTATTATTATTGAGTTCAAAAGACAACTCAAATGAGTTACACAGGACGCTAAAAAATCCAGGCAGCCTGATCCTCTGAAGGGTTGTGTTTAATCCCACTGTTACCTTAAAACAATGTTTCAAGTGAGCTTTATGCCATTTATTAACACAATGTGGGACTTTCAACTGCCTTGGGTTTGTTATGTGATACCGTTCATAATTCGTAAAAAAAATAGCCGCGCTCCTGTGCGGCTAACTGTTCCTGGAGTGCAAAAGTGCGGCGAAGTGCTATAGAAGTGTCATTGTGCGTTATGGTAAATCTACCGTAGACATTCAGTATTCGCCAATTTTTACAGATTTTTTACTCAATGCATTGATAATAACCACGCTGATTTGCTGTTGTTGGCATATTGCAGGTATACTGTAGGAATACGGTAACAATCATTACTCTGATGGTTCTGAAATCTGCACAAGGTGTTAATTAGATGCTCTGATTGCGATGATTGCATTCGTTTACTGTCGTGTTGTGAGGTCAATTTTAGGTGTTCAAAACGTTGCTTATGGTTCCTTCACCCTCGTTCTGATTAGGGAAAGGATATTATCTCCCACTGGCAATCTGAAAAAAAAAAAGAATCTTTGCGCCTTGATGAGCTACTTCCAAACCGTAGGCATTCAGTATTCGCCAAATCTATGTCTGCTGATCGGCTTTCCAGAGAAGTTACGAGCGCTTAAATGTCCAAATTTCATGAACAATCAGTGCCATAAACTCAGACCAAAGTAAACCAAGGGTTAGCGGTAAAGAGACAATCACATCTATGTTTTCAATAGAAGTTCTCTTCTTTTGGCGGAGTTCACCGCACTCGCCGCACTCCAGTCAGGAGCATGGCGACTTCTTTGACGTATTATGAGCGGTATTTCAATCTTGAACTGGGTGTGAAAAATACGTTGTCAGGATTTTGGCACTATTTCTTGAGCATCATTCGAGATTGTTCTCAAAGCTAAAAAAAACTTGTGACGCAGATTAAGAAGGCATCAGTGCATCACCTCTGTTCGCAGAGGCACACACTAGCCATATGGAACTTGTAAGACGAACTTGCTTTGTGATAATGGCCTTCCCATCATTCTTCATGTGACCGCTAAACTTCAAACAAAAATGAACTCCATTGTTATCCAATTACCACATGCTTTGAAGCACTGTAACTTTCCTCACTCTATTTTCGCAACAGACCAACTCCACACACGGATTAATGGTTTCGTACAAGTCATCATGGAATCAGCTGTCTGTAAGTGAGAATAGAGATTTCCATCTCCAGCCATGATGAGAGGTGACATTTTCATGCGTAAAAAAACGAAATCCCTAGCAAGTAATGATTTAAGCATGCCATTCATGAAAATTTCACTTTTCCAATAAGACCTCCTTAGTAAGCTAAGCGTAACGACTGCGAACCGAGCGCGCGGAGGAGGAAGGGTAGGCATTTGTCTGCCTCCCAATGTCACAAAGCTTCAAAGTTTGTCCAAACCCTCTTCCTTTAAAAGTAAGTATCATAATTTCAATGCCAGAGACTTACACTGTTAAAATTCAGCGTGAGATTGCTGCTGCATGCGTAGTCTTAGTGCTGAACACAAATAAAGCTAAGACAACATCTCTGTGCCAGTGCATGCGTTGGCGCTGCCCAGCGTACGTGACGTACGCTGCTTACGCTACGTTCTCACTGTATGTTAACACATCTGTATCCCGTGCAGTCTGGTTTCAAGCGAGACTCCTTTGCTCGAAAGAAATCTTCACAGCAAGGAAACAAAAAGTACAGCAAGGAAACAAGCTGCGATTGTCTCGTTTTTAACAGCTTAAGGACATCTCAATAGCTCATAAACCGCAAAGATTCTCTGTGCGACAATGAGTTCATAGTCTTGTTTTCATACTGACAGCTTCTCTACTCTAACTCAACCGTTTAATATCAGTTTAATCACCATAATTGATGCCTTTCCTTTTGATACCTAAGCTAAGAAAACCAGAGAAGAAACTTTTGGAATTGAAATATCACTATGTAGGAAATGTTGGATAAAAATCACAACAAATTTTGCAAAAATCATTGAGAAAGATGTCACCAGGTTGTATATCGGTTGCCACAATATCTTTGGTTTTTTCTTTAAGAAAACTGGTTGTTGCAAAAAAGTTAAAAAGAAGGTCGTTCATCCGAACCGAGTTTTCTTTCTAAATTTCTGAACATCTAGCAAATGCTGGAGTGAAAAGTAGCTTAATCTGAACAGTGCGGGAGATTGAGAGGAAAAAAACAATGCTTAGCAGATTTCCCTAGAAAAACTTCAAGCAAAATATGGTAGAAGGTGTGGTGATTGTGTATGATTAGATTATTTTCATGATCTGTAATCACAAGTCGAAACAACCTGAGTGTGCGCAGGTTATGGCTATATGGCTCTTACTCTTAGCCAAAGTGGGTTCACTTCATTTTAATTTCGATCGTTTTATCGCTATTTTATCATGTCATGTTAGTAAACATTATTCTGCACTTCCTTGGGAACTACTGATGGAAACTTAATTTGCACTTTCTTGGGAAGTACTGATGATGGGCGCCAAGGAAGTCACATACCCGGTCTAGTTCTTGACCTCGAAACCGTTTATGTGGAAAATTAAGTAACGTTTAACTTTTCTAAAAGCTATCGTTGCACAACTTAGTATTTTAACACTTCTCTCTATTATTATATAACTTCCGCTTCTTTCGGGCAGCAAAAAGACAAAGCGAGTCTAGGAAAAGGACACAACAGAATGCATGTATTACATAGAAAGTTTCAAGCTCATAAAACCGCGGAGCTGATGGTCAGTTGAAGAATATTGAGTGAAAAAAATTTCATTTGTAAGGAAAAACATTAGTGGATGTTTCATGATATAAAAATAATGCATGCATTGCAAGTGAACTACGAGTTGAATGCAGGAGTCTGATAACACTGAATTATGCGGTTCAGAGGTTAAAACATTTATTCAAGATGTGACCCAAGAGCAAGCGTTCCAGATGTGAGTCATAAACAACAAAAACAAATGACACCCGTGGAAATGGTTGCTAAAAGAAGGTTAGAGTGATATTCATCAAATTGGCATACTCATCGCTGAAAATTTGTAACAAACAACGTTCCTTTTTGAGGTTTTGCTTCCCTCAATCCGAGAAAATTCTTGACAGCGCGAATGCGCAGATGGGCGTCAAACAATTTACGATACTGCTTGCTGAAAAAAAAAGTAGGAATGTTTCAAAAAACAACAGCTAAGGTGGCTAACCTGACAGCATAATAAACAAAAAAGTTTCCTGCCATTGATAAGTTTATTGGTAAACCGGCAACCAAGACTACATCCAAATTATTGATATCGAGTCGTATAAGCATCGAAATAACCCCGAAGCTTATGATGGTAATCCAACCAAGAATCACGGATATGCTTATCAATATCAATGGTCGATATACAGTCATATTTTTTCTTTCTATAAATGGCAGATCTAGTGGTTTTATACACGAGGGCTGAATGAGTGTTTGTCATTTTGCACGCATGTAGTAATTCGAATAGGGACATCACCAAAATTTGCACACGTATCGGGGCGGGTGTCGTCCCCCACTCTTCTTATCAATCAATATTAATTTTATTGACTTTTACTCAAAAAGCTGATTTACGGGTATGAGAGTTGACACAGGGGGTGATTGAGATACATATGCCAGTTGCAAACATACAGGAACAGGATGCTGATATACAGATTTCGAACGGGGCGGGGAACATTGTGTAGAAGTGAGACTGCGAGTTCTATATGTTATGTGGAGCCGAGCAAAACCGGGTTTCACAACTAGCAAGGTAAGAACGTCTGACTCACTTATGGTTATTCTTCTCACACCTCGCAAAAATAAGCCGTAGCAGACGAGTATAAGCACATTGGCAACCAGAGCTCCATCAAAGACTATATCGGAAACTTGACCACGCAATGCAGCTGTCACAATACAAACGACCTCTCTGAAAAGTCAGATTAAGCCTGAATTAGAACTCCTAAGCACTATCGCTCAAAACTGTTTTTCTATATGGAGACCGGAAATATAGATATTTTCTAAATATCAAACGTGTACCTCAACAAATCCTGTGACATTTACAAGACAAGACTCACTGTTGCTTGTGACAAAAAGTCACAAGGGGAACCACCAGCTTTGTTTCAGAGGTTCAAACAAATTTTAGTGTCTTAACGCTGTTCTGCTGGTCTGGCTGACGCATTTTGCGGACACAATATCACCAAATTTTTAGATCACAAGTAAAGCTTTTAATCTACCATCGCTTTGCAAATGTATAAAAACTAAATCATGTCGAAGGAAGACTAACGAGATCTCAACAATTTGACTTGATTCAATGACTTAACAACTCGACGTAAACAATTTCCTTTCTTGCAAATGGCATTACAGATTTAGCCACACATTGACTGATTCACTGAAATTGTGCCATAACTATTTTATGTCAAAAAAATTTGCGAGGTTGAAAAGAGAGAGAAATGAGAAAATTATAATGGAAGCTTTGGCATATCATAGTGTTGAAAGAACGGAGCAAGTGATAGAAAAACTTAGTTCTGTAATAAATTTATACACCCTCAAACTCACTCGGAGGAGGAAGAGCTGAGTGATAGAGCTGCAACAATTACGGCAAACGTTGCAGCCAACCAAACGTGAGAGAAAACATACCATACTTTGCAAGACATGGCAAATGACGAACTAAATCAAATAAGTAAAACATAACAAGTTGTGGAGGGAAGGTTGTGAAATACTTACTAGAATTTTTGCAGAGAGATCAATCGGTCAAGAGCTACACTGCAAAGTAGCACTGTAGAAAAACACATGCCAAAAACAGGTATCAACTGCCAATAAACGCAAGTCTTGTGCAAAATCATATGCTTGGATGACCTGCAAATATAAGCAAATATAAGCACTTCCACTATTTCATTGTCCCCTCGGGTCCACATATTTACTCCCTATGTAATTAGCTTGTCTCATAAGTCCTTTCATTTTTTAATTTTTACTGCAATAAGTCTCACACTTCTCAATTTTGATCATAAAGCAGGACACTGTGCGAAAGAGCGGAGCAAGCTCTACAAGATGCCGTGTAAAAGTTCGCATCATCTTTAGCACATTACAAGTTAGAAGCCGAAATTTGTGGGCTTTCGGATGCCCAAAAATTGAAATTTTTCATTATTTTTGTCCAGAGAAAACTGAGTACATCCCAAACTCGCTCACGCATATACACTTTACATAATATATTCATATATGCCGTTGCTGTGTTTATTTCTGTGCTGAAAATGAAAAAAACTAAGATTTTCAAATTTACAAAAAGCGATGTTGCCTGTTCTCACATAGATAAATTATGTATCACAAGCCTGAGTAGTACAGTCACAGGTTCCCAGCTTTCTATAAACTCTAGTTTCAAAGAAAGATTTTAGCATAAAATCCTAGCAAAAAAATAATTTCTGTTTTTCTCAAAAACTAGTGCTTCTAAGAAGCTGAAAATTCACCAAGTATTTCTGAGGGCCTGTAGTTTACATTTAAGAGCAGCGCAGACTTTGGATCCTTGGAAATTCTTATTTTCTCGGTTTCTAGCACAGAACACAGCAAACGGCATATATGAATGTATTAGGTCATTCCGAAAGTAATTTCGCTTTTTTCAAACGGGTGCCACCTTTGATAGAGCAAAGGTTTTTGAGACATCTTGGATGCATTCGATGCAGAATTTCATTCTGTTTCTAACGGTTATAAAATTATTGCAAATCACTCAATGAGCTTTCAGAAAATAACCAAAATTTGCGACCCATGCTTTGTGAGATGGTCAAGTTTCACGATTTTTTAAAACTTTCATATCAATTCTCAGAAGAAATTCAAGTAACGATTCGATAGAGTAAACCTCATAGAAAACAGCATTACTTTTGTCTCTTTCTCATAGGTCGCCGTAATTTTGTTAAAGATTTTTCAACAAAAGCATCGGATTTTGGCAGGCCCACATCGGCCACAATCGCATCAGACATCATTATTATTCGAGATTTCAACCTTTCAAGATGATATATGACTTAATATTGATTTTGCAAGGCAAGTGAGAATTTACAAATTCGAAATATCAAATTTCGAGTTTTTCGGGTACAGCCTGGGGCTCCCTTAAAAAAATGAATTGTGATGATTTCTCCCAGGAAACTAAACGAATCGGAAACAAAAAACACCTGTTAGAAAGAGGAGAAAATGCTGCATCGGATAATGTGCGAGCTGCTCTTTTTTTGATGTTCTACGAGGATTTAGCTGCCCAAGTATGGAAATCGGTAGCATCAGTTAAAATTCTGTTAAAAATGTATAACAAGATATGAAAAGGGGAAAAAAGCAGTTCTGTATTCTATAAGGTTTACATTATCGAATCGTTACTTGAATTCCTTCTGAAGATTGAAATGAAAGTTTTAAAAAATCGTGAAACTTGACCATCTCAAAAAGCACGGGTCGCAAATTTTGGTTATTTTCTGAAAGCTCATTGACTGTTTTGCAAGAATTCCATAACCATTAGAAAGAGAATGAAACTCTGCATCGAATGCATCCAAGATCTTTCAAAAACCTTTGCCCTATCAAATGTGGCACCCGTTTGAAAAAGCGAAATTACTTTCGGAATGACCTAATATTATGTGGAGCGTTTATGCATCGAATTTTGAATCTGCTCAGTTTTATTGGACAATGATATAAAAAAATTTCAATTTTTCATACATCCGAAAGTTCTCAGACTTCGGCTTCTAACTCATGATATGCTGAAACAGGTGCGAACACTTACACGCCGTCTTGTAGAACTTGCTTTACTCCATACGTGGTGCTCTACATCCCAATCAGTGATTGAGAAGTGTGTGACTTATTGCGGTAAAAATCCAAAATTGAAAAAACTCATGAGACAACCTAATTGTAGTATCTGTTTAAAATGACAGTCATGTGCGCTTAAACTCCGGATTTTTGAAAATCATTTTCAAACTACGTTATTCAATACTATCAAATTATAAGAGTCCGACCTGTAGCTTTGTGCATCCGCAAAATTTCTCTCATTATCTAAGAATAAACGCTTTCATTATGAGCAGATTTACCTTGGACAAACTTTAAAGAACAAATTGAGCTCTTTACATCATTTCCAAAAAATCCTCTATTACGTAATTACGCTTGCTAACTATAAAGTACTCATAAATAAACTCAAACTTGATCCTCTTCTTACATTTTCTTCCAACACTTCAATTACCAAAACATGTTTAGCGCTATCAAGCCTACAAGGAAATGCTCAGAACTTAACCCGGCCATTCGAAACACGCTGTATATCGTCGGACTCGTCTTAAAACGCTGATATCAAATATATATTTTTTATCTGCCAAGCGACTATCTGGAAGGAATTATGGGCGCTCAAATGTGAGAATTCTTCGAGTTTTGGCGAATATATTTCCTTGAAAGGCAGCCTGATGGCGCGGATTTACAGTGGCTATGGTTAGTTCAATTACAAGGAAGAAGCACATTCACCAAAAACCTGGGTAGTGTTTATGAAACCTATTGAACACGCGCCACAGAACACTTGACAAATCACACATTTAATCAAAACTCCTCCCAGATAGTCATTTGGCAAATAAAAAACACATATTTGTGATCAGCGTTTAAAGACGAGTCCGATGATATACAGCATGTTTGGTATGGCTGGGTAAAGTTCTAACCATTTCCTGCTTAGCAGAATTACAATACGAGCATGAAGCAGTGTTGGATTCATCAAAAGTTCGTGGAAAAGTGTCAAGGCAAAGCAAACGACACTTGTGCACTCCTTCAACTATACACTTTGTAAGAAGAAGCACGAGGACAACGTGCCCGGACGGTTCATTGGTAAATCTTTTGCCCGAACACATTAGCTGCGCTACAAATATTTTGAATCCATGCTTGAGATTAAGGCATCAGAATAAGCTGGCTGAGACAGCAAAATGCGCTAGGCTTACAAGTCTTTGGCATCGCTTCTGGTCGTGGTTTGTCAGTCTAAAAGTTTGCTCGTTTTGGAGTTGTCATATTGCAGAAGTCTTCAGAACAAGAAAATCTTAGAAGTTGCAGGAGTCTTTAGAATAAAGATGAAACTTACATATTATACGATATTACCATGACGAATTGAGCAAGCATGTACGCTACATCTCCTAATGATACTAGTGCAACGAATATGTTGCACGCACTTCGCAAAGTTCTGGAATAAAATGCAAATAATCGAAAATTCGAAGTAAACAGTAGATAGAATATGTTAATTCAGAAAACCCACCGCTTGATAATGTAAAATTTCACAGATAATGCTTTTTGAGTCAGCGTTAGGCTGGGTTCAAACTGATCTGAAGCTCGGGAACAGTTCCCGATACAGAGCACAATTCGAGCTCTGTGCTGGAACGTTCCGGAACTTACGGATCAGTATGGAGCCAGCCTTAGGTACAAACCTGGATCGCGTGGTGACATAAACTATGCAAGCATTTCCGATGATACCAATAAATGCTACAATAACGTAGTATATTTGATAAGCTAAGGGTATATATGGATCCATCTGAATGTGTACGTTGTATTCGAGAAAAGCTATGGAATAAACTTGCGTGGACTACTTTCGCAAAGTTACAGCAGCTTGCGTTCATCAGACGGGGCAGAGTAAACGTGTCTGGCTCACTCACAATTTTCACACGCCATGTATACTGCGAGATTGGTTTGGTGTGTACAGCTGAGCTAGTTTCCAGACTTACGAGATTTGCAAAAATGAACGGTAAACAATAGAGTAGCTCATCGTTTTTCAAAGAAATAATTATAATTTTGCACTATACATCAGCTTCAACCTCTGTTCTGCAAGGCCGCACTGTCTCAGACAAACGGTGCCGTAGCTCCGGAGGACAGTCGAAATCTGGCAGAGCTGCGGAGGAACCAACTGACCACTGAGAGCGGGGCGAGTCACGGTGACGTCACAAGAAGGCAGATGGGACCCATCCGGCGGGCTTGCAAATCTCTGCTCCGGAGGTACGCCAGATTTGGGAGAGCCCCGGAGCACAGATTTGCGCTCCGGAGCGCCAGATTTGGAGGAGCCCAGGAGCACAAATGGGAGGGCTCCGGAGCACAAAATGGGAGGGCTCCGGAGCACAAAGTGGGAGGGCTCCGAAGCACAAAATGGGAGGGCTCCGGAGCACGAGTGGCAAACCCCCGCTAGGGAAACCCCGCGGCTCTGCCATTTCTGCTCCGGAAGTATGCCGTCGACTGTCTGAGGTGGATACACATTGCGTCAAATGTTGGTGAAAGGATTTCTTTGTATTCACCTTTCGCGAATTATACGAGTGACTACAGATATGGCCTATAAAAACACACACACGTCGATGTTCTAAGGTCTCCTCTGTCCCGATCTGGGCCTTTTTGTTGAGGTGTTCGGGTGGCGGCTCTCGAGTAGATTCATGACCGTACTTCAGTAGGTTCTCACTCTCTTTTGTGTGAGAAGATTGCACTCAAACATACGGTATTGCAGTGCTCAAGTTTGGCTCTCTCCGACGCAACGAGCTTTTCTCATAACAGGAGGTGATTGACTGCTTCACCTCTCTGCCTTCGAGATACAACCTCTTTCTTATTATTTGCTTCCCTGCCTATCTTAAATCGTAGGTTTGCGCAAGTAAATTGCTTGAAGTATAGCTTACTTAAGGTGCTACTGTCTTTAAAATTGAAGATTTAAAAATCTTCAAAATTGTAACAATGCTATGATTCATGTCAAGATTGGATCAAAACAGGAACTTCTCACCCAAGACGGAACTGGAGACAAAATGTGAAACTTTCAACGTGTGGCAACGCTAGATCTTCGCTGGATTACATTGCTTGCATACAGGATGGTATTATGCCCAACTTAAATATGGACACCAGAAATTAGTTTTGCTTTAATTCAAAGGTAGATTTCAAATATCTTACTTGAAGCAAATGGCAGCAATCGTTCATATGCTACGCCGACTGGATATCAGCGTAACGTTCAAAGCCAAGAAAAGTTTTTATCAAGAGCTAACGAGCAGCACCTGCAGAGATTTTACATGGTCAAGTTACTATACAAATCCATATTCTAGTGCTCATTGACTTGACCCATTACCTTTTTTTCTAGTGCCAGTGGCCATTGGACATCTGAACCAGTCTTTTTCTGGTAGTCAGAATAGTGATCCGTAGAAATTGTAAAAGGTAAGGAAAGAATATGTTCTTCAGTGGCTCCAGCCTGCATCCTAAAGGGCATATAGGTTGCTGCATGACATGACAAAGGTGCGACTAATAGCGACTTTAAAGGCACCGCCCACCCAAATTCTTGACTTCCATGTTGTTGCCGCTTACAGGCCTTCTGAAGGCCCTGATCTCCAATATGGAGTCGAAAAATCACGAAACCCCCAAAAATTCCTGTTTTGGAAAACCTGGCGGACGGTGCATTTCCAAGTCGCAGGGCTGTGGCGCTGTTATACGACCGGCGTATCGCCCACCCCTTTTGCAGGTTTGGCGCAGCCCGCCAAACCTGCAAAAGGGGCGGAGTTACCAGCTGGATGGAGTGACAGCTCCGAAGATACGTCCCTTCCGGAGAAGCAGATTTCTCGCTTCGAAAGCAATCTTTTACGAGAAACTTGGGGGTTAGCCTAGTGTGGGGGCCCACATTAGTATGTCATCGAATCTCGTGAACCCTCACTTTGGGTGGACAGTGCCTTTGATAGCGTATTAGTCACAGAGCGCATGAGTCCCGAAAATTATAACGGTGAGGCTATACACGCACCACGTTCGCGCTCGCTTAACTAATACTGCCTCTGCGCCTTCGTCATGCAGTAGCCTTCATATACCCCGTGGGTATATTCGGTCCGAATGTGATAAATCGCTTATCTAAACAAAACATTTAAATACATTCGCATTCGAGATCAAAACTCGGAGTATTTGATTCAAAATTCAAAACTCGAATAACTAGAAGACGGGCATTCAGATGAACTGTAAACTCAAATAACCAAAAAGGAGTTTCGAAAGAAACTCGAAAATTTGAATTGGAAAGCCAAGATTTCGAACGAATATGATTTGATTGTCTTATTTGAATCTTTCACTCGGACATTATTCGAGTTCATTGCAGAGCTACACCGACCTATTCGGGTATGTCAGCAAGTTTTGGTTACAGTTGTTCTACGTATTTGAGAAGACCATTCGGATATTTATATATTCCAACTGTTTTATCTAAATGTCTAGCCATTCGAATAGATTATTCGAATTTCTAAATTCAACTATCCATATTCAAATGTGATCGATATTCGATTATTCGACAAATTTATTCTTCGGATATTGCTAGATATTCGTTTGTAAGTCTTCAATTTTCGAATCTATGTGAAATTTATTCATTCAACAAAATATTCGATTTTTGCGAGTTATACTCGTCGGCAGTCCCTAGCACCTTGTATCACCGTTGTAAGCCGCTAGCCGCTTTTTTATGACGGCGCGGTCCATTACATTTTCGTTAAGCTCGAGTAAACCCGCCTTCTAATTTTCCTTGCCTTTTCTTGATTCTCACTATTGTGCAGCTTCATTCACCTTTCTTGTCGGTCGTATAAAGGTTGTCAGTTTTTCCATGATGGCCGATATCATAATGACGGTCCATTTAGCAAAATGCGGCTCTAGCTGGTCTCAAATCACAATCACCAGCAAACTAGCGACAGCTTATCCATTTGACCAAGTGTACAAATTTCACGGGTGTCCTTTCGTAAAAAATGCGCATGTCTACAAAGCGATCCGCATCTAAATCGTTGGCATGACTGATGCTGATCTGTCGCGCAGTGACTTCAACATAGGCCCTCCTCAGGCACTTGGAATGACGAAAGTCGGGCCAAAGGTCCACAGGTCTTTGCAAAAAATTGGCTATGAGAGAAAGGTATTTTCTTAGAAAACAAGAGTCTTTTCCTTAAGCCCGCCAGTTACGCCAAAATGTGAGTACTTTTGACAATCTGCAACACTTTTTGTTTAACACATTCACGACAATACGACCCACCGGTGGGTCGTATGCTTTCTGAAGTTTTTGATTTTGCTAGTTCACGGTTGAACTTTTTAGACAAGCCGAGTAAACTTCTGCATACACCTCTTAGAGTACTTCCCAAAAGATTAACACTTCAGACCACAAGGCCCATCAGTGACCTAAAAATATTCCGCAAACTCAATTTTGCGAAATATGCTCTGGTCCGAAATGGCAGTCAGCGAAAAATCGGCCCTGTCGTGAATGTGTTAAAAAACTTTCGTGAACGAACTTGACATTACTGCTTATCCTCTGCTGACTACGCTATGACTAAAGCGTGGACTTTCTTTTACCCAATTCAAAGTAGTTATATGCCTCTCAAACTAGATGTCAAAAAAATTTTGACGGTCTCCAAATAGAAAATCTCTCCTTCAACAGTTACAGTGATATAAAAGCCAACATTGCGTAGCCAAAGGTCTGCTTTTCAGTAGTCTCGAACCCAGAAAAACGTTTTGGAAAAGAGTAATTTTAACTAGAATGATTTGTAAAGAATTTGCATTAGTTATAGATAAGCCTATTTTATATCGTAGCACTACCAGTCACTGCTATTTCAGAGACTTAGTCAGTACTTATATAATATTTGGTTTCTTTTTTTTTCGTTCAAAAGGTTGAAAGGAGTCTTGGAATCTAAAACAATGGCATATAAAATGAATGGGGTGCAACGTGTGCTAATAAGCCATTTTGTTCGGAACACACGGAACGCTTCTATCAATTTGCAGTTTTTGCCTGGGAAATTTTTCCTATCTTCGCTTAAAAATGACTAAAAGAGTGATAAAATTCAAGCCAAATTTGGCAGACATAATGCACGGGGTGCAGCATGTATAAGCCTTTTTGTTCGAAACTCACGAATAGCTGCTATCAATCGGTTTTTTGCACTTTTTGCCTAGAAAATTTTTCATCCTCCCCAAAAAGAACAGAAGGAGTCATAGAATCGAAAACGAACATGCCAGACTAAATCCATGGGGTGGGAAGTGTACTAAGCCATCTTATTCGCGACATACCGATTGCTCCTATCGATTTGTTGATTTCTTGCCGTTTTGCCTTGCAGCTCTGTTATAAAAGGCCCAAAATTACGAAAGGAATATTGGATCTGAATCAAACTACGTAAACATGAATTTTGGAACAGGATGTCATAAGCTTTTCATATTTCCGCACTTTACAGTAAAACGGAAAAATCACGAGGCAGCGAAACTATTGTGTACCAGCCGAACCTACAGCGTAACGGCAGAGAGCGGCTAATTTCGTAACATATAGAAAACTCATAAAATTTTTGGTTTTCAAGTTCTCAATAAGCTGTTGTGGTACCGATATGGTAGGCTAATCATTGAATCTCGTTCTCAGTCCACTCAGCCTGCAAAACCTCAAAATGCGTAGGCAACAAAAATTGACTTACACCTATCCCCGCATTAATGACAACACTTTAGAAACAAACGTGGTCTGTTTGAAAACGCATTTATGGTTACACTTGAACTGCAGTGCAGAGAAACTAAGCGTCGCCTTTGTGGATTACTCGATCTTCACGTGGCACTCAACTGCTTGGGCAAAGGGGCCAGCTATCCGCGGAGGCGGTGCCTAATGACATCGTTACTTACACAAGATTCCACCATATTTGACATTCGCATTGACTTTCTTGGGACAACGAGTGATTTGTCTTAGAGATTGGAATGAGCAAAATACCGAAAATTTCATTTGATTGCAACTATAAATACTGATGTCTGCCACGGTGCAGTTGGTCGTTGGGCTCCTTTTAGCTTCAGATACTTTTTCAGAGTATACAAATAAAGATATTCATCAAAGACAGCTCGATATTGTCCACTGAAAAGAGTAAGTTGCAAAATTGCAGTCGACTGTAACCATTCATGTAACTGCGCCACAAGGTGCACCTTAAGTCTCTGACCAAGAACGAATTTTTTACAAGGTCGTGAAACAAACCTGACACAATAAAACACGAAGAAGTTTGAAGCCATACATATGTTCATTGGTAAGCCTGCTATCAACGCCATCTCTACACCAGTAAGATTCAAATTTATAGAACGAATCATAAAACCAATGATGATAGTGGTGATCCAACCGAGCACCACAGAGAGGCTCACCACAATAAGTGACCGATATACATGTTTCAAATTTCTATCCGCTAAAATAAACATGTTGTAAAAGCAAATGTTTCACTACCGCTTACATATTGATAGTCTTCTCACTTGCAGAAGAAATAATGCGTAGCAGACAAGAATCAAAATGTTTGCGATTCCAGCTACATAGATCAAAACTTTCGGAATTGGGCCTTGAAATCCAGCAGAAACAACGCATACAGTTTTCCTATAATTAGCAGAGTATCCGAACGGGACAGATTGTAGATTACTTCACTGTAAATGTCTAATCTCTCGTGGATTACACTTGTGGACTGGACACATTAGGTTAGCAGCCACCTTTTCATAATCTTTTGTTTTTGAGTATGGTGCCCTCAGTTGTAAACTGCAAATTCAGTCAATTTCTGTAATCTAAAATCGCGTTCAAGGCTATGAAAAGTAAGTGAAAGGAAGTTTATGAGGGGAAGAGCAAAATATACACTCATTTTATTTACATTGAAAGAAAAGTTTGGCATTCTTTCCCAAAAATTCATGGTTTTTTCTTGAGATGGCTAGCGGTACGCAAGCTGAGTTTCGATGGGTTTTACAATAACATCTATCGTGCTACCACGTGTTTATCCTGATCAAACCATTTTTTTCCTCTTTCTTGGAGAGAATACGTCTAAAGTTCATTTCAGCAAGGTTTCAAGGCAGTTTCAAGTACAGCGGATGTTATTTTCTGAAGGGAACTAAGTAAGACCACGGATCACCTCTGCCTAACTGTCATTACGGAAGACTACGAAAGACACCACATCACAAGTCCTTATATAATCATAAAAGAATGCTTGAGTCTGTTACACTCTTCCGCAAAGTATAACAACCGTAGCTGACAACAGCGTCGTCAATATTGGTTGACCCCTTTCACTTAAAAGTAGTGTCCCTGCAGATTTTGCATTTCCATCTTTTTCCCTGCGTTGGGCCTATTCGATCCCTAGACCCCGAATTTGAGCTTTGAAAAGGGTGAAAAGACCTTTTTCGAGGTGTTCACACAATTTCCAAAAGGCAGGGAGAATTTCAAGGGATAGTTGGGAGGCCCTAGCACTGCTGCTTGTAATTTTTGCTTTGGATAGCGTGCACAATGCGGGAGGGCGGTCGTCGGATCCCGCACCGGAGCGTAAGCAAGGTCGTCCGAGCGCGCGCCGGTTGAGGGCTATTTTCTCGGCCCAAGGGGGAAAACCAGCCAAGCTACGCCTGGAGGTCAGCGGGATGACCAGAAACCCCATAGCAATATTCCCCATGGCGCGAATCTGCCGGGACACTGCCTCACCGAAACTGGCGAATTTTCGTAATTGCCCGCGATCAGTTACGGCGGATTGAGCAACTCTTTCAAGGAAGTCAGCTGTCGCCGCGCGAAGGTCCCAGAGCCCTAGCCCACTCGCTGCCCCGCCTCTCGCAGCTGTATCAAAATGAAAACTATATCTCGCAACATTTTAATAACTTTTTTCTTTTGAACAAGACGCACTCAAAGATTTGTGTAGATTATGACCTAAGCTGCAAGCGCAGCTGCTGTTCTGCCAAAACTGACGTCACAATGTGGGTTTACAGTAGCTATATAGTATGACGAAAGGACTTTTGATATTCAAGTTATTCTATTTTATTTTTCGAGCTGAGATCTACCCCTGTTTGGAGCCAGTTCATTATGTTTGATCTCTCAAGCATCATCCTTTCTTTGATTCCGACCTGTCTTGGGTTAGTTCTCCATTGTCCTTACCATATCATGATGACCAGCAGATCAAAATGAGCTTCATGCTTATCCTTCAAGACTATCGGAAATGTGCACGGACACACAAAATTCCCTTTATATATACATATGACAATTATGCAATTTCGGATCACTGTACATGGTTTAGGTTGTTGACGGCCTCATTCTTAGCTTGTTACCTCATTTCGAAATTTTTAGTTTTCAAAAAGTGTCTGGAATCACCCTAGTGGTTGGAATTTGAACAATTCGTGCGCGGTTGTAGCACTCGTTACACTTTACACATTGCCAAAGTTCGAGTGCGCCACATCCAAAGAAAGTAAAGTTAAGGCTACCGCAGCCTGCGCCGCATGCCGTGTGGTCACAGCAAAAACAAGCCCATGGCACCGCATCTTCGCGGTTTACCAGCATTTTTTTGCAAAAATACAATGGGTCTACAGGGTACAAATGAATCTGAATTTGGCTGCCGCAGAGGCGGACATGCTACGTTTGTATCACTAGGCTATAACTGGACTTTTTCTTGAAGAATACATCCTTATGACTCTTACATAAGACCTCAACTCACTCGCTTGTGTAATCTGAAGTGAGTATCACTATCGTTACAAGAGCAGCATATAATCCTGCTACAGTGATCTGAGATGGAATGTACCATTTATTGTGCGATGTTGCAGAGCTGAAATGGTCATCATAACAGTATTGCAATCAGTTGAATGTATCTAATAAAACTTACTAGAAACTGCGCAAAGATATCAATCTATCAATCGCCACATTGCAAAGAAGTACCGTCGAGAAGCACAAACCGAAAATGGGAAGAAGTTGCCACCAAATGCAAGCATTTAGGGGTATCATGTGAGTAGAAGAGCTGAACAGTGAATTTTTTTCGGAAAAATACTGAACGCTGCCTTTTTTGATTCATTCTACTTCTACTATTTGATCTCGCTTCAAGATCAGTAGTAGTGCTTTAATTATGCAAACTCACATGTGATAGGATGCGAGCAAGACGTAATGACCAAGCATATGAGCCACGTCGCCCAGAGATACTAGACCAATGAAGATATTGCAAGCACTTCGTAACTCTCTAAACGTTTTGGTAAGTCATCTATAAGAAGTCTAACCTTAATCACTTTTTCAACATAATTTTACTAGTTGAAATCGTTGTAGCCTGACTGATCGTGGACTAAAAGTCGCTGCACACAAATTTATTGGCTGGGTAAACTGGGCAGTGTAGAGGATAAATTCTAGAAAAAATTCGTGTTTTCATCTTTTAGATCAACAAACTCTAGCTCCTCTGTCAAAGCCTGAACCAACCAACCTGCTAAGTAGTCTACTTTTTGAGAATCTACTTGAGGACCTGAGTTTTATAGCGGATCCATAGCTTTAGGAAAATCACAGATGATAATTGAAGGAATACCGGCAACATACCATCAATTTTTCGAAAAGGGTTCTCTGTTATGATTCAGAGTATGCAGAGTTTTCAAAGTTTTTAGAGTCCATGAAAGACCTGCATGGATTTAGAAAAAATTCTCTCATAGACTATAGGGACTGTCTACCTGCCACGTGTCAGGAGAGACATCAACACTTTTGATTCAATTCGAAATGTTTCATATCTTTCCGGAGAGGTACGAAAGCATTTGAGATTGCTTCAGAAGCTGTTCAGTCATTTTTAGGACATCCAAAATTTTTATTACAACTTGATGGCTCTATTAGTACAGATCATCTCTCAAACCATTTCGCCATACGAAATCAGCAAGAAATTCGAGATTTTTCGAGGAAGTCAATTTTCTCATGGCAGAAAGTTGACCTTTTTTGAATAAAGTTGGGGCTAGATATGGTACAAGAAAAAGTAATCTTTTTTGAAAATAAAGGGCCCGGATAACAAAAGTACTGAAAAAATTATATGCGAACCTGGATCTGACAGTGGCATAAACAATGAAAGAATTTCCTAGAATACCGATAGTAGTGATTACGAAGTAGCATACTTGATAATGCGAAGAAATGTTGGGATCAAAGAAATCCATTGACCTGAAATTCAAATATGTTCCACATCTTTGAACATTTGAAAGTTCCAAATATTAGCAATCGAAGAAAAATTTATCCACAGAAAAGCTGCTGATTACGGAGCGTTTTGTCATATATTTCTACACCGACGGAAATAGATTTAGCGACTGATTATGCTACCAGAACCACACACTTATCAAATAATCGTGTTGTATCTGCAGTAAAAAGATTTGACAGCTATTTGTGCCAATTTTTTTCAGGATGCTAGTGCGATAGCCATGTTCAACCTCAGTACTCAAAGAACTTTCGCGAGAATGCAACTTCTTCATTCCATCTTTCTCGGGAACGTCACATACTTCCTATTATGCAAGATGCCAACAAAGTGGATAAGCAATCTTTGAACAAGTTACCGTCCTTAAGAAAACTTAGCAAATAAAAAAACCACATCATAGAACCTAAACGTGTTATTGCAGATAAGGTAACCTCCATTATCGAAGAAACATATCTATCTATAAGTAAGGGTACGTCAACTTGCTGAACTTAGAAGTTTTATGCCTATTATTCTGCTAAACGGTTCCGCATCTGTAAATGAAGTGGTCCTAACAGTAAGTCAGAGCCTTTTACCAAGTAATGCTTCAAAATCTGTAAAATAAGCTTATTAACATGGAGGCGTTGGGCTTTGGCGTAAAACACACGGCATAAGATGCATAGAAAATTACACCAGCTGCATTTCTTGTCCCATTCATCGTTTGTTGACTGCAATGACTGTCTGATAAACTTGTCAGACTACCTATCTAGCTCCACCTACTTTGTTTTATTTGGTGTTAATCATGTAACAAGTATAAGATGTTTGAACAGCTACATCCATTGCATGAAATATTTTCAGCAGTATAGGGAGAAAAGGATCTTAGTGTAACAATATAAAGCGTCAGCATAAGTTCGACTCTATTTAAGTGAACGTTTTAACTGACACTGAAGTAATGTGGACCGCGATGCCAAAAATCAGTCTGTAGGTTCCGTGTTAACAGCGAATTAGATCTTGTTGATGTTTGAATAACTTACTTTTCTACGCCAATATCTGCACTATCTGAATGTCACAGAAGATTCCTCAACCATAAAAGAATCACGGGGTACAACACTTGCAATTTCCAAAGTGCCTGTTATTTGAAGTATCTTCAAA